CGCTTCTAACTCGCTCGGCGGCTGGACGAAACGTTGGGCCCGATCGGCTGGCATTGGCTCAAGACCATGATCTTTCCTGTGCTCATTGTGCCTTACAAGCAACCTGTTTCTCTCTTTTACCCACGCCTGAGCTGTCTCTCTCTTCTCTTCGTCAGTGGGAAAAAGATGACTTTTGCCTTGTGCTCTTTCGAAGGGACGACGTCTACCCCAGGGCGGGTTCATGACCGGAATCATGTTTTCGAGTAAAAGGTGTGGTTTTATGGTGACCGCATCAAGCCGGAGTTGTTGCTAAGTAGCTTATTTGGTGTACGTTGATGTATAAGGAGGGATCGTAGGAAGCTGCACTAAGTTTGGGAGAGAGATCTTATATACGAAGCAGCTGTAACTTGTAGCTGTGAAGCATGATCATGTGCTGTTAATGAGACATAGAGTAACGCCACGTACACAGCTGCGCTCGTCAGCTGGACAAAATGTCACAGAAGCCATCAACAGTTTTGTCACTATCACAATACTCATCCGTTATCCATAAGTCTATCGAGTGACGCCCCTAGATGTTGCGCAGCTGTTCACTCATACCAAAATAATACTAGTGACATAGGCTGCATCGAAACGAAGACGATCAGGCAAGTAAATAGAAGTTGTAAGTTGCACAGACTTAATAGGCACGAAGATAGGTTCCATTAAATATTCTCTCAGCAAGCTCTGGTGCTCCTATTGCCCACGTCCACCACTCATACTACCGCCCATACGCCCAAATCCTCCCCTTTCCCCACGTCCAAAACCTCTACCTCTACCAGAGCCAGGAAAGTTGGGGTTTACATTGGCCCAGTCGTTCCAATAGTCACCCCAAGCTACCCTTTCCCTGCGATCTAGTTCCTCTTGTGATACACCTCCGTCCTCGCCATGTTGTGCTGTTCTGAAAAGGTATGCCTCGAGCTCACTTGGTCGCTGTACGAAGCTTGCTGCCACTTCACCCTCCACTATAGGAAGACCGTGTCGTTCTCTCGTTGTGTTGTGCAATCCAAGTATCTGCGTTCTGTGCTTGATCCATTCCCTCGCCGTTTTCTCCTCCTGCTCCTCGGGAGTAAGCACTCGGCGTCTTTCGGCCCTGATCTCCCTATCGATCGCGCGCATATTGGGTCTTCCGTGCGTCACGGCGGAATACATGCTTGCTAACTTGGAAAATGGATCTTGATTTGCAGAACTGCTGTTGAACTAAAGGTGTTTACGGGCGACTTTCCCTGTGCAGCGCAGTGTGAGAGAGTGTAATGTAGAAAGATAGAGCTGTTTCGTGCGGCTCGTTATAGGCATCCCCTGACCGTGATAGAACAGCGTGAAAGGAGACAGCGTGTCATTGATTCAAGACAAACCTTGGAAGACACCTCATCAAATCGGCTCCGCGCTGTCATATTGCAGCATCAGACCCAGCCAAGGCGCATTATCTTCTCAATCTTCTTTTCGATCTTGACATTGTTCATTCATTAAGTAAAATTCGATTCCGTGTAGACGTCGCACCGACATGTGCAATGGTAAAGATACAAAGAATCTAGAGCACTCAATCTAAAGCTAGGAGATAAAGAGATGGAGGTAGAACTTTCGGCCGCATAGAATCGATCCCATATCGGTCAGTGAGGCTATTTCATAACTAGAACATCCAATAGTTTCCTCTCAATCATGCATGTTCCAAGCAGAAGCCTTCCCACCTCCAGCAGGCCAACGCGGGCCACGCCCACCCTCTTGACCTCTTCCCCCTCCTCCTCTACTGTTATCCCCCCGCCCAACGCTATGATCTGGAACAGGAGGGTCGCCAAGGCCCATACCATTTAGGTCTGGCCATCCTGGGTTACGTCTTCCTCCGCGACGACGACCCATGGGCATAAATCCCAAAGCACGAGGATCATCAGCCATGCCAGCAAACCCGTGGTCTCCAAGGCGAAAATGCCCTGCACCGTGTGATTCATCGCGAGAGCCACCACGTTCTTCAAGCTGAGCCCTGAGCGTTGGTGGTAAAGGTTTATCGTTGAGTCCAGATTGCTTAAAGTACTCTGCATCTCGACTCATACGTTCACGCCATCTCTTTTCGATCCTTTCGCTCTTTTCCATCTGTGCCTTCCTCCGCTCGATCCAGATTTCGGCATCTACCCTTTCTTTTACGCGCTTCTTGATAGTCTTGGGGTCGTTGCCTTGGTGGATCGATGGATCTTGCTCGCTAGGCATTGGCGATAGGTATTCGTTCCCACTTCCTCGCTCGCCGTGATGGTAGAGTGGAGGTGGAGTGTTGCTTTTGAAGAAGTTGAATAGCCCCATGGTGTGCTATTCGTGCTGTGAGAGATGCTGGTTCTTAGAATCAACTCTGGGTTGCTGCGCTTTGCTTGTACCTTTCTCGGGTGGTGTAGTATGCGGTATGAGAAGTTCTATCGCAGAAAACTTTGTGGCACTAGGAGGTTAGTATCGTTTTTATACCGAAGGGCTGTTGTGACTGCGTACTCCTGGAATATGAAAGTAGAAGGTTACTGAATGCTGTTGATGCATGATGGAGCCACGTCAGTTTTGTCACCCATCACCTGCGCACATGCGGTCGTTCTTGTGATCATATTTGTGATCATTGCCATGAAATTTGAACGCTGTCATAATATATACATGTTGACAAGCATGACTGGTGACACCCAGCCTCCTATCAATAGCTATTCTGAGATATCTCAAAAGAATGCTGTGATTCCCTCCTTCCTCCTCAGAGCGATGTGAAGGGAGATGTATACCGCGATGCCAAGACCCAGCATACCAGAGATGACGCCGAAGCCCATGAGGTACTTTGGCTTGTCGTCGGCAGGGAAGAGGTATGCGCCATAGATCTGCGCAAGGTTGCCCATCGCGTTGACAAGCGCAATCGCAATAGCCCTAACTTCCGGCTGCATGGATCCGAAGGTCGCACTAGCGAAAGATAGCGATACAGCGTTGGAGGACCAGAGTCCAGCGGCCATGAGAACAAGAAGTGCGTATCGTGCCTTGAATTCGTAGACGAACAGTACGCAGATCGAGGTTATGAGTGCGAAACCGAGCCAGCCGGCGATGACGAGACCGCGGTGGTTGGAGATGGCGTCGGCGTAGTAGGTTGTGACTGCTGTGCAGACGAAGGCGACGGCGTAGATGGGGACGGTCATGTATTGAGCGGTGACTGTGTCGGTGTATCCGAGACCAGTCATGAGGGTTGGGTAGAAGTACGAGAGGGTGGAGGAGCCGACAATGACCTGGCATCTGTTAGTCGAATTCTTCATGATTCGCGCGGCATTACTTACCATGTAACCAAGGATGAAAGAAATAGTTCTCCAGTCGCAGATAGCCAGACGGAAGGACTTTCCCTTTCCCATCCTCTCATCGCCCTCGGTATGTGTTTGGACACCGCCCTCCTTGAGGCGTGCGATAGCGATAGAGCGCTCGCGGTCGGTGAGTCGCTTGGTGTTGGCGGGGAAATCCAGCAGGATGAAGTATGCGCAGATAGCCCAAACAATAGTCGCAGCTCCCTCGATGATAAAAAGCCATCGCCATCTAATACAGTGTTAGCCTTGAGGTTTGGTCCTATATTCGAGCTTGTTGCTTACCCGCGAAGGCCACCAGTACCCTCCATGCCGCCAGTAATGGCACCTGCAAGAAGACCGCCAAATGCGCCACTGAGAATAGCCGCAGACATGTATACACCGAAGCGCTTCGACTGCTCATCTTTCTTGTACCAGGACGAGATAATGAGGAGGATACCCGGAGCGAAACCGGCTTCGAAAACACCAACGAGGATCCGGAGTGCGACAAGGTGCTTGAAGTCGTGGATGACGGCCATGCAGCATGTCAATGCTCCCCAGATGATCATGATGGCGGGCAGGTAGACGGAAGGCTTGAGGCGGACCAACAGCATGTTGGATGGCGGCTCGAAGACGACGTAGGTAACGAAGAATACAACCAATGCGATGGAGTATTGCTCGGAGCTGAGGGAAAGGTCATCAGCCATACCGGCGATTTTCGCATTTCCAATGCTGGATCTTGTTAGCCATCGCTCCTACATCACTTGAAATTCAACTTACTTCGTGCGATCCATGTACGATAGCAGGTACATCAGCCAAATTGTGGGAAGCAGGAACAGGTCGATCTTGCGGACCAACTTGGCTTCCTCATCCTTCGTCCATGTGAAGTCCTCAGTAACTTCGACATGCTTCGTGCTGTCCATCTCTTTGAAGTCGACTGGATCTTGAGAGTGGCGTGTCGACGACATGGTGTCCTGATCTGCTGGTTGACAGGTGCGACAGCGTTGTAACAGGAACGAAGCTGCAGTGGAAGGAACCGACTTGCAGTGTTGCGGTAACCGTTGCGGATATCTCCAGATGGGTGCGACACCCGTGTAGCTTTATAGAAGGAAGATACCTCACCTCCACAGGTTTTGATGATGTTGGCTCAAAACAGCTTGGACCTCCCCAGATTGTGTTCGGCCCTTTTCCCTACCCCAGGTGCCCAGGTCGCATACTAGGAGCCGAAAGCCCGCTACAGGCCCGCTACAGACCCGCCTGCACCGATAACTTGACGGTTACGATTGGTTGTGGAACACGACAGAACGTGTTCCATGCATGAACTCGCTGCGCGCCCGGCTATGTGCCTCGAGGCGAACTTTGTGCCACTAAGCGAAGGCAAAAGGTCGGAAGCTCACGTGTTCGTCGCGTCGGCGCGTATGCTCGCCACGAGGCCATCGCGCCTCCGAAGATGGTTTGAGCCGAGTCTCAACAACATCCCGGCCTTGTGGACCTGGTTCGCGGCGCTCTCACCCGCGGGGTGTATTTGGTACCGATCAACAGCTCTCGGTCGCCACATGCCTTTGTGGGGTACCTAAATGCGATGTACTTAAACATGCGGGGTGCCAGCGAAGTGGTGGTGGTAACTCGATTTTCCATTCTCTCGCGAGACCTGCCTCTCCAGATATCCCCAAACCTTCGCAGCCTACCCTTGTAGACCAATCGGAAATGTCTCCCTCTGCCATCACACCGCAATCTGACCAGACAGCACCTGCTGGTCAGGCCGCCAATGCCCAAGTCGAGCAAAGTGTCCCAAATCCCGTCTACCTTACGACTGAGCCGAAGGAGGACTTTGACTGGAAGATAACCCTTAAGGGCAAAGTAGTCGCTATTACCGGCGCGAACAGAGGTCGGTGCATGTCGAATCTAGATTGCGGATAGATGCTGACCTTTTAGGCATTGGACTTGGTCTCGCGACAGTATGCCTCGCAAACGAAGCCGCTGAGATCTACTCTTTGGACCTCTTCGAACCCGGCGAGGAGTTCCAGGCGCTGCAACAAGCAAACCCCAAGCGCGTACACTACCTGCACTGCGATGTCACCTCTGAGGAGAGCGTCATCAAAGCCATTGACGAAATTGTGGCACAATCGGGCCGCATCGACGGTATGATCGCCAACGCAGGAATGACCAAGCACCAGCCCGCACTCAACTTCGACCGCCCGCAGCTCGAGCAGCTTTTCAACCTCAACGTCTTTGGCGCATACTTCTGCGCAACGGCAGCCGCGAAGAAGTTCATCGAGCTTGGTATCAAGGGGTCCATCGTCTTCACAGCGTCCATGACGTCCTACCGGCCAAACAGGGCAGCGCCATCAGCGCCATACGGAGGAACCAAGGGCGCAGTCCGCAATATGGCACACACACTCGCGATGGAATGGGCGAAGCACGGCATCCGAGTCAACTCGATATCTCCGGGTTTTGTGCGCACGCAGATGACTTACTACGTTGAGCGGGCGCCCGACTGGAACTTGAAGATGCAGTACTATGGCGGCATGCCTAGGTTGGCCGACCCCCGCGAACTTGGCGGCGCGTATGTGTACCTGCTCTCAGACAGTGCCAGTTACACTACGGGTATTGATATTCCTGTTGCGGGTATTGTCGGCGCCTGGTAGAGGTTTTGGTTGCTTCTTCGTCGCGCCATATGCATTGGGTGGAGTTCTTAACTGCCGGCTGGCTGGGATATATCTAGAGTCAATTCAACGCATTTTCTTCCAATTTTCATACCCATTGGAAAGACGAAAGTGATGTATACCGGTATTGATACGGGTGTGGGAGTCGGTGCTGATGGTGTGGTGGTGCTGACTGAAGGATGGATCGATCCGCCTCAAACGGAAAGAACCCGGAACGCGCAACAACCACGACTGACTAAGCACGTCCTGGCATCGTACACAACCAGTCATTATCATCAAAATACCTCCTTTCTGCATAAACGCAACTTCTTCACTTCTTCTCAACAGACTTCAAGACTGTATCATGGCCATCAGGCCTCCCAACTTCTGCCGGTGGTGGACAGTGCTTTGGACTGGCGCGGGGTCCTAGAACTGTATCCGACGCGGGCCTTTTGCGAAATTGCCACAGTTTCCCAACCACCGTCTGATCGCCTTTCCTAGGTTCGCGAGATATCAACAACTGGGCTCCGCATGCGCTGTGTCATCCTGGACTAGTCTGAAGCCTGTCCCGTTGGTCAGAGACTCGTTCCCCACGGCAGGCCTAACCGCCGAAGCGGATCCTCGAGGGCCAAGCGAAGTTCCACCAGCATGCGCAACATCATTCGTGATGCAAGCATCGTCAACAGGCAATCCCAAGCCGCGCAAACCCCGTCCCTCACGAGCGCGAGTAAGTTTGCCTATCTCCACTGCATGTGAGACCTTTACTGACTAGACGCGTCTCTTGCAGGGCTTACGTACGACAACTGGATGGTAAGCTGTTCCCCCAGCACGTGTTATCCCGTATCACCCCATGGTAAAGCTCGCTAGCCTGATAAGATCCAGCGTGCAAAGTACCTAGTTGATCACTAGCTAACACAGACAGCCTAACTTGTAGACGAAGGAGGGTGAAATGTGACGAGCTAAGACCGCGATGCGCAACATGCAGCAAATCCGACAGAGAGTGCTTATGGCCATCACCCAATGACCCTCCTGGAGGTGCAGCAAGCAATGCATCTGGCTCTGTACAGTCTGACACGTCGCCGGCTCAGGATGCCTCTTCTATTGCCACTACATCACCGGCGCCTGCCAGACGAGCGATCCCACCTGAGATTGATCCTCAGCTCTGGAACGCTTCTCCCGAGCTCTTGTTTGAATCGCCATCGACGGTCATCAACTCGTTACCTTCTCCCAATTCCGCACCTCTAGCTTACTACGACCTGCTTGCTGAAGATGCCATCAACAATATCGACAAGTACAATCTCAATGTGGACCTAGACAGAAACAACTTGTCGAGACAGCAAAGCCCAGCAACTGATGGAGCAAGCTCTGATCGGCATCCGCTTTCATATGAACGAACGGAAGATGCCGATCCATCGGGACACGAGCCGTGGAACTGTATCGATGTCATACCCATGTCGGACGACGAGCTTGTGCTCTTCCAACACTACGTCAATGTCGTTGGACCCATTTTGGACCTGAACGACCCTTCTAAGCAGTTCACATACACTGTTCCTTCTCTAGCGGTCCACAATGTTGGCCTTTTGAAATCTTTGCTCGCCGTGTCGGCGCGGCACATGGCACTTCTAAACGAGCCACAGCTTCGTCGGCTCAACATACATGATCCGGAACCAGGCGCTGAAGATGGCAGGACCAGACAACTTCATAGCCCATTAATTCAGGTGGCGACGCAGTATTACTATGAGACTCTACACTACCTATCGAAGAATCTCTTCTATCCATCCTACAATAAGTCGAGGGAGATCATATCAACTTCCATTCTTATCAGCACATATGAGATGTGGGACTCTGAAGGCCAGTACAGTAATGGAGCCTGGGAGAGACATCTTCGTGGTATTTTCTGGATACAGCGGAGTCAGAATAACAACGGAGAGTCCCCAGATCCGCTCCGGAGAGCTGCCTGGTGGAACTGGATACGGCAAGATACATGGGTTGCGTTCCGCGAAGGACGACGGGTCCTCACTATCTGGCGGCCTACCAAGCGTTTGATGGATCTCACCCCGGATGAACTTGCGTTACGAATCGTGTACATATGTGGAAGATGTGTGGACTTTGCAGCAAACGAAAAGAAGTACGATCTGAACACGCGCATCGAGCAAGCTGGAAAGCTCCTACAAGCGCTAGAGGACTGGCATGCGGCGCTCCCGATGTCCTTTCAACCCATCCATCGCGGCCCTCCACCTGGACCAGGCGCTCTGTTCACACCCATCTGGATCCATCCTCCTTCGTATGCAGCTGCCATGCAAACCTTTCATTTTGCACGGATCATCGTTCTCATCAATCAGCCATCGATGGGAGGCGTGGACGAGTTTAGAATTCGACAGCGCACTTTGGACGAAAGTGTAGACATGATCTGCGGCATAGCCATAACGCATCAAGGTAGAGATATCGCGAGTGCCATGGTCAACTTCAAGTCTATCTATGCTGGTAAGCTCCTTCACACACATCATCCAAAACCATGCTTACAGTCTTTAGCTGGTCTATGCGTTCAGAACCCTGTCAAACAAACCGCTATCTTGCATCTCTTGGAACAGACACTTGACATCACCAAGTTTCCACCCAAGACATTACTCACGGATCTTACCAGCTATTGGCGAGCCGAATCATAACCTTCCATTATCGTGCCGAATGCAACTCAGGTCCGATCTTCCCCCATGAGTGCATGTCAATTTCGTCATCGCGGCAATGCGGCATGTGTCGGACCGCAAGAAAACAGACTTTCAGCCGCATGTTCAGCCGCACTCGCCTTGACTCCACTGCGATGCAGGCCTGGTTCCGATGAGTTGGTCGCATGACTCGTATCCGGGCCAAGATCAGGAAAGCATGACAAGGTCGGAGTGTCACGTTGCGAGGCAGAAGTCGGATGTTGTAGCGGAGCAGGCTCTTATTCAGGTTCGCCTTCCCCACAGACCCCACACGGAGGTGTATGTTCGCCGTCGTGCAATTCCCTGCAGAGATGGAGTAGAAGCGGGGTACATCTTGGAGGGCCGATCGCCTCTCTGGGACGTTTGTGCCTCGTTACGAGGCACATCGGCTAAGGCCCATCGGGCGGTTCCATCGTGCCCGCGGTGTCGCTCGCAACTCCGTCAAGGCCATCCAAGCTGCTCGCGACGAGCACCAATAATAGCTCTCAAACTCCGCGGCTTTCCCGAATCAATAAGCTGCAGGGACATGATAATAGCTTCAGTTCCGAGACGATTCCGACATAGTGATTTGAATGCGCTCGAATTCTCCCAACAATACATAACAATACAGTAGAACATCAAAGACATCATCAATATACATCATTCTACAGCCACCATGCCAGTCAGCAAAGATAACCGTACGCTCGCCATACTCAATGCCGCAGCCGCAGGCAACTACGGCGTCATGGCCGCAATCGCGTACGCAACACTCTCCAGATGACAATCACGATGCTAACCGTACACCAGCTACAACGTCGAGCAACTCACAGCTCTCGTTCGTGCAGCAGAGTCAAGAAAATCGCCTCTAATCATCCAACTCTTCCCATCAACCCTGAAACAACTACCCCTCCTCGCGCATGCGGCTGCGCACGCCGTGAAGACCGCCACGGTACCTCTCTCCCTACACATCGACCACGCGCAAGATGTCGAGCATATCCGGGAAATCATTGCGACACTCCCTGTCGACTCAGTCATGGTGGACATGTCACATTACGACGAAGCCGAAAACCTAGAGAAGACGAGGATATTAACCAAAGAATGCCAACACAAGGGTATCGCAGTAGAAGCAGAGAGCGGAAGGATAAACGGTGGAGAGGATGGTATTGCTGATACGGGAGATCTTGAAGGTATGCCATGCCTAAGTTCATGTGATTTGGAATGAGGAATAAATACTGACCTTACCAGCACTCTTCACATCCCCCGAAGACGTCGACAACTTCATCGCCGCAGGCGTCGATATCCTCGCGCCTTCAATCGGCAACGTCCACGGTGACTACGGTCCAGCCGGACCGAAAGAAGGACAACTACACTACGACCGCCTCGAAGCGATTGACAAGCAAATCAACAAGCGCGTCCTCGTCGCACTGCACGGTACCAACGACTTCCCGCCTGAGGTCATGCAACGGTGCATACGATCTGGTGCTGTTAAGCTGAATGTGAATAAGTTGTTGCTGGAGCCCGGCAATGAGGTTTTGAGAAAGAACGCGCCGTCGACGCCGCTGGCGAAGTTGATTGATATGCAAATGGATGTTATACAGGAGGCGACGGAGAGGTGGATGGATGTTTGTGGGAGCAGTGGGAAGGGCGTTAAGGCGCCGTAGGGTGGTTACGTTGGGTTTCAATTGAATTCATCTTAGCAGTGCAGGGCAAAAGACCTTCGCATATTTACCAGAGCGCAGATTTTGCAGTGAAGCATAAGTTGCGAAAATTTACATGCGACCTTTACTGCTGTGTTTAGAGGTACGCTGCGCAAAGCCAAGCCACGCTCGGTGCGAGCAGATCCCCTTTATTCCCTCGACAGAGATAAGTCGGCGCTTTTAGATGATTCTGCTGTGTAACTCCGTTTCGCGCTGGTTACCGGCCTCGATCTGCGGTAGTTTACATTGGACACAGCCTACAGAGTGGTAGTGGTATAAAAAGAGAATCATCCACACCGAAAACATGCAACAACGACAACTAATTCCAAACACTTCTCAACATAGTACATTACCTCATAACCCTTCTTTTTCCTTTCATTGGAGTTCTTCGCAAGCACTACTCCATCATCCAACAACAGTGCGCATCCACCTCGTCGCCGTCCCTCCTGTCCGCAAAAAAATCACCAACATCCCAAAGAACACCCAGCTTCTTCTCACGCATCACCCAACACTCTAAATGACGCACAGATTGGCAAAAGGAAGGTCTTGCCCGGAATCGAACCGGGGTTGCCGGAAGACACTGATTTTGAGATCAGAATCCGGAGTGATAACCGCTACCTATATGGTGATTAGCGGGGGCAAGCTGGAAGTGGGAATCTGTGAAGACGTACACTACAAAACCGATGGCAATTTGGAAATTACATCGTATATACCGACTACGTCCGGCCCTGCACGTGGCCGATGGCGATGAACAGAAAGATTGGTTGAGAAATTTCGTGTGTGGGTGTTTGAGTGTGATGTGGGGCTGGCTGATGAGGGGTAGGTTTGTTGGCCGACCCCGCCGGAACATGTTGGGTACAAGAATTTTACGGGGGTGGATGGGAACGTTCACCGTGCACTACCACTGTAATACTCGATTCTTCATGAGCTGACAATACCTTTGGGTTGTTTGATGGTGGTATCGGTATTCGATAACTTCCCGGTCCAACCCTTGCGTTCCAGCGGTATCGATCAAATATGCCCAGATAACGCGGCGAACGACACGTCCAAGCAAGAGGTGGAAGCGATTGAGGGAATCCGGGATGGGTTTGACTCCTTTGAATCCAGGTTCACTTGCTAGACTACCACATGGCATCGCGAGGAGTCAGGGGGTATGGCGCCAGACGAAGTGTACATAACGTTCAAGTGCGAACAAGACGTACCACTATAGCTACTCCCGCTGCCTAAGATCCTCCCAGCTACTATTCCGCCTCCGATACTGATGCCGTTGAACCGTTTCTCTTGCATCCAGCGTCCCTACATCATTGCCTCCTTCTCCTTGACCATGACGCGCCTTGCTCGGTACCACAACATCCATCTCCCAACTCATGCGCTCATCAATCCGGCCCCATCGCCTCTCAGCCCACTCCATCTGCTTCTCCACATGCGTCGTCGCTTCATCAGCAAGAGCGTGGTCTTCGAAGAGGAACGCGAGTTCTTCCAAAGTGCGGCCGTAGGTTTCGGGGAACATAAAGTACTTTGCGAATGCATTAACGCATAGACTCGAATAAAAGAGATAAACTGGGTAGAAGAGATGAAGAACCTACGATGAAGACAATTTCGAATCCCAACCAAGCACAATACATAATCAGCCATTTACCCTGAACATGCTTCAACCCAATAGGATTAAGTATCGTCGTCGTGAAAACCGCTGTACGGCTAAAGAACTGAAAGATAGTAATTCCCTTTGTGCGCTGCGCAAATGGAAACAACTCGACCAAAAAAGCTGCGGGTCCATTAGCATCCTTTTCCCCATCAAATACCCTCGCACCAACTCACTGTAGGTCAACGCATTATACCCAATATTATAACACATCTGATACAAAAAGATAATCGCAATCGTCAGCCTCGCCGGCTCGATCCTTTTCGTAGCCGTATACCGCTGCATCGCCACCGTCCACGCGACATAGCAACACAACAGACTACTCGCGCAGATGAGATACATTTTCCTCCGCGGAAACCGTCTCACCAATAGCGAGATACACACCGCATTCACCAGATTCCAGCTATTGAGCCCGACATTCACTTTCCCGACGAAGCCAGGGTCGTCGTACCCGATCATGTTGAGCAGCTGGTTGAGGTAATAGCTGAGTAAAGTGTTTCCAGACCACTGCGTGAAGAGGCCGAGGAAAGAACCGATTATCACGCGCTTGCGTAGACCGGGGACAGCGATCATTTCGCGCCAGGAGCGTTTGGAATGTTCGAGTTCGATGCGGATCGTGTGTTCGATTTGGGCCATTTCTGCGGCGGCGAAGGGCGAGGTGGTGGCGCCTTCGGCGTGGTAGGTTATTAGCGTGGCGTAGGCTTCTTCGCGGCGGTCTTTGGAGATGAGGAAGCGTGGGGATTCGGGGATCATGCTGGGCAGGTTAGCTTGGTAAGATTTTGGAAGCAGTGGGGATGAGGCGAGTACAAGATGAAGACGATTTGGAGTAGTGATGGGCCGGCTTGGAGTAGCGAAGGTATGCGCCAGGCCCAGTCGTCTTTCAGGCTTTGGGTGCCGTATGAGACTCCTGCTGCTATGAGCGAGCCTACGAACCAGAGTGCGTTGAAGAGAGAGGTCATGATGGGTCGTTCCTTTGGATATGCAAGCTCGCCCATTAGTGATGAACCTGCGATGATGCAGAAGGGTATACCGAAACCGAGGATGAAGCGCGCGCCGACGTACATGCCAGCTACGATGTGTTAATATAAATTTCATCTAATGATTGAACGTTCAGTCCTACCGCTGATGGAGAAGGCTTGTACTACAGATCCTACGACCATAATCCAAGAGCCTAAGAAGATTGCCCATCGTCGGCCAAATCTATCGTTCACGTACGGTACCAGTGGAAGAGCGCAGATCGCGCCAAGGTTGTATGCTGAAGACATGATACCGAGAAGCGCTCCTTGTGGGTTATTGAAGTCTACATTGTCAGCAACGGCATGTTGTGGCCGAAACCTCGACTTACAGAGCCGCCATGTTGGCGCGATTTGCACTGCGTTGATCATCTGCGAATCGAATCCAGAAGTCATCTCAATCCCAATACACGTCGGCAGCAAGAGTGCATACAGCCTCCTCAAATTTCGCTTTCTGTACCAAGGTATCTGGTCCTGTTCAACGATGCGCGTCAATATCGGTTCCGCCTGCCTCGCAGCCGCCGCAGCGCCAACAGGCGCCATCTTTGGTATCACACTTCAAACTGCAGCTCTAGCAGAAGTAGAGGGAATGTCACTAGACAGATAAACGAAGCAGTGGCGGCTAGCAGTGGCGGCTAGCAGTGATGGGCGTCCGGGGCGTGCGGACATGCCCGTTAGTTCTATATACCCCAGATTTGTGCGGCGCATCATGGCTCGTATCATCAAACTGGATGCAGGTGAGACAGCGAAACTGGAAGGGCTGTGGTAGAGTTGTGCTGGGGTAGGGGTGCATTGACCTTTGCCCCGCACCCGGGCGATGTTGGTGGTCATATACGAGGTTCAGTAACGAATCAAGAATCGTCCTTAAAGTTGTGGTACGCGGATAGAGTAGTACGCCACGCAGATTCGCTTTTGTGTCGCTGTTCGTATGACTGTGGGCATGAAACACACACGTATCTGCGTAATGTGTGTTCGGCGCTATGCGACAAAGAAATCTGTAAGTCGGAGCCAAACGACGTGCGCATGATACACGATGACATCTCATACTCGATGTGAGTTTCCTCAACCCGAGGACATGCCAAGAGGGGTAAAGTACCCAGTAAGAACTTGATTGGCGATACCAATTTGACGGCCAGCCTGTTCCAGAATGGTCAGCACGGCACCGCTTCCGGAGGACGAACCTTCGGCTCCATGGCATTGGATATACAAGCAGGATATGATGAGCCGATTGCGGAAGATGGACAACAGTGGGCCGTGCGCGGTATGTCTTATGGTAAGCGATGCGGTGTAAGTAAGCGATGGTGTCTGACGGACTACTCCAGATGTTGCGAACGTATCGTAGACTCAGCGCTGCCTCTGACCAGCTGTTGCACTGACGCAGTGTAGGTGACCGGTGAATAAATGACTGTATTCGAAAACAGAGCGACTACGCGAAAGAAGGCTGCAACTTTCCCGCGATCCTCTCCAAAATGCGCTCTGGCAGTAAGCTTTCATACATGTGATCTGTCCACTCACAACAGACTCGCCGTGTATATGCCGGATCGATAATCTCCTCGATGCCGAACGCATTCGCAGTACGAACTGGATTCATCAGTCGTTTGTACTCGTTCTCCAACTCTGTATAACGCCTGTCGCGCGCTTCTTTGCCCTCTTTCCTCTCAATCTCCTTGAGTTCAAACGAATGTCCAACTTCAATGCCACCCTCGAGTGGTAAGGAGCCCCACACCCCGGACGGCCAAGCAACGCGCATGCGTGGGTCGCGGCAGTCCAACATGATACCTCCTGCTACGCCGTAGACGCGTCGCACGATGACGTTGAAGATGGGTATGGTTGTGCTGTAATAGGTCGCAGCGAGAGTGACGCCGTGCCGCATCGTTGCAGTGCGCTCTGCGACAGTTCCTATTGCGTAGCCTGGGACGTCGACGAATTGGACGAGCGGGAGGTTGAATACATCGAGGAACTTTAGCATGCGTGTAATCTTCTGTGAACCCAATGCATCCAGTGCGCCGGCATTCTGCTCGCAGTTGAGAGAGACTATGCCGACCGGTTTACCTGCGAAACGCGCAAGGCCTACTATGGCCGTAGTACCCCAAAGGGCTCCAATCTCGAAGAACGAGCCTTGGTCAACAACTTCGGTGATGATGGCCCGCGGGTTGTACATGCGGTTCTTGGAACGCGGTATGATTGATCGGAGGTTTTCTGACATTCGGTCGATTGGATCAGAGCAGTCGATTGCTGGAGGCAGCTTCGTACCGCAGTCGGGCAGATAGCTCAAAACCGTGCGTATCTGTTCGAAGCAGCCCGCCTCGTCCGGCGCCAGGTTATCGATTGTGCCGTTGGTGCAATGCATTGCTGGTCCACCAAGATCTGTGAAAGAGAGACCCTCCTCAGATGTCGCGTTCTTCACCACACTGGGGCCAGCGTTGAACAACGAGCCGATATCTGCAGCCATGACCGAGAAGTGGCAGGCCACCACGCGGGCTGCCCCCAGACCAATCGCCGGTCCGCACACAGCGCCCAGGTTTGGTATCCCCCTATTGAGCTGTTGTACGACTTGTGCGAAGGAGGGTAGCGGAGGGACGTAGGAGAAGCCTGTGGAGCGAATGGTCGTGACAGAGCCGCCGCCGGATGAGCCATCGACGAGTTTGACGATGGGAAGCTTCAACGCGATTGCGAGCTTCTCCATATATATCTGCAGTCGTCAGTACCAGCACGGATCAATGCAATGAATCGAACTCACGGTCTTCTCCATAAGCGCGCCATCAGCGTGTCCAGCGCGTATAGAGAAGTCATCGGCCGTGAAGACAATCTTTCGACCTCGTAATCTTCCGAAGCCTACCCGCCGTCAGTACATCTCCCCAATGCCGTCCATAGTACATACCCTGCACGTTGTTCGAAGGCACGTAGTCTTCCGGTTCCTCTTTTACCGGCCCCAACTGCTTCCACTTGACTGTCCCACTCACGCTGCCCACCTCCTGGAAGCTCCCCGGATCAAGCAGCTGCTCGACTCTTTCGCGCACCCATAGTTTCCCTGCCTGCTTCTGCCTCACGTAGCCCCTATTGTTCTTGTCTGGCGTCGCGGCACTTTTGCGCAGAGTCGCAATCTGGCCAAGGATGTCTGAGTAATCAGCGGGCAGATCTGAGTCTGCTCCTTTCCGTCGTCGTCGCTTTGGTGTGTTGGGCGCGATGTGGGAGCTGACCTGCGCGAGTCGGTCTTTGGCGGTTTCGGATGACGTCGACGCGTCTTTGGGCGAGGGCTTTGGCCCGGGCTCGTCACCAGCCATGACTGTTGAAGAAGTGTGATCAAGGTTGTTTTCGAGCTCCAGTGATGGAGCGACAACGAAATCGTCACATCTCGATGACGCGGACCAAGATGGGATGGTCGTGGTGGAATGTTGGGGTAGAGCTGGGGAACCGAGGCATCTTCAAGCTCCCCGCGCTTGCCCTCCTCCATCGCACTCCACCAGAACGCGACCATGTCATTGTGGATGAATCGAATGTTCAACAAGCGTCCTGCTTAAACATTCGATCCAAATCGCATTCCAGCTCTTAAAAAGCCTCCTTGACGACGGACAACGTGATCTCGCCTTACCTAACCCAACGACTCGTCCACTCGAGTCATTCCACTGATGGTATAGTGGCATAGGTACCTAGGTATCTTACCGAATGTACTGCTTGACCGATCCATACTGCTGGCTGGACTCCAATATGACGCGACCTCCACAAAGACCCATCAAGCGACTCCTTATCGCGAATAGGTTAGTAGTCAAGTAACATTTCGGGGAGCGCAATTAATTGTCTGTAGGGGAGAGATAGCAACACGAATTATCTCTTCAGCCCGAGAACTTGACATTGAGACGTTTGCACTCTACATACCTGGCGACGACTCGCATGCCGTCCGAGCGGACCATGCGATCAAGATGTCATCAGCTTCATCCTTTATGAGCATTGAGGATCTCATCGGTATCGTCAAAAAGCACCAAATTGATGCTGTACATCCAGGGTATGGCTTTCTGTCAGAGTCAGAAGACTTCTCAAAGAGAGTCTGGGAAGAAACTGGCGCCGTCGTTGTCGGTCCAGGGTGGGGTATCTTGAGTAATACTGGAGATAAACTCAAGGCGAGAGAGCTTGCCCAACAATGTAAGACAAAATGCGCGTTAGAGTCGCGAGATTACTGACACGTAAAACAGGCGACGTCCCAGTATCTCCAGCACTCCAGCAACCGACTAACAAAGTCGAAGACGTCCAACGCTTCGCATCCGAAGTCGGCTTTCCAATCATGGTCAAAGCAGTAGATGGAGGTGGTGGCCGCGGTATTCGTCTCATCCGCAGCGAAGACCAGCTTGCATCCTTGGTGAAGAGAGCAGTCGAAGAAAGCCCGTCCAAGCAAATTTTTGCAGAAAAGGCTGCAGTCGATGGCTTTCGACATATCGAAGTACAGATCATAGGAGACGGTACTGGAAACGTGAAGCATCTATGGGAACGCGAATGCAGCATCCAGAGACGATACCAGAAGATCGTTGAGCTAGCACCGAGCGTTGTATCTGACCGCAAATTGATCGCAGAAGTCATTGAAAACGCTCTGAGAATGGCGAAACATGTATGCATGAATGCTGCTCACGATTCTGTCTTGCTAACATATGCATAGATCCAATACTTCTCACTTGGCACTTTTGAGTTTCTCGTCAACCCATCAACGAAAGAATTCTACTTCTTGGAGGTCAATCCTCGCTTACAAGTCGAGCACACAATCACGGAGTCCATCTCCATGACCGATATCGTCAAAGCGCAGCTACTACTCTCCCAGGGTGCATCTCTGAATGACTGCGGCCTACCAGTCGCCGAGAGAGACCCGGAAGTTCCTCCTCCAGTGCATTCCATCCAACTTCGCATCACTGCGGAGAATGTTCAGAGCGATTGGTCATTATCAATTGGCAAGATCACCTCTTTCCAGTTCCCTTCGGGTAACGGTATTAGGGTCGACACACATCTTATCAGTGGCCGACCCGCGGTGGTATCCGCAGATTTCGACAGTCTGATCGCAAAGGTCATTGTAACAGCGTCATCTTGGGAAGACGCCGTTCGAAAAGCTCAGCGAGCTTTGAACGATACGCAGATAGCAGGAGTAAAGACAAACATCGACATGTTAAAAGCCATAGTTGCGCACCCAGACTTCCTAAACGGACAATGCGACACGCAATGGCTAGAAAGCAAACAAACCGAGCTCCTCCATTCAAGCCAAACCATCGCTTCAGCCAGCCAAAACACCCTAAACTCCGATATCGCGCCATCCTCCTCGACAGCCTCAGTCTCAACAGCCAATACCCTCTTCCGAAAAGGCGACGCATGGTCTATTTTCATCTCCACCCCCACCACAAAAACCAACGAGAAACCACCACCCCATCACCTCGAACTAACCCGCGTCCTCCGAAACGACTTTCCCACGTCCCTCAGCGCAGAACTCCTCTTCACCACGCCCTCAACAGCTTCGTCTAACATGCCCCAAACAACACCTTATACCATAACCCTCTCCTCCACCTCCGCTAGCGCATCAGCAGCGACGTCTCACCATAGGCGAGGGAACCCGAGCGATCCTTCACACATCAGTATCCCATTCCCGGGAAAACTGGTGGAAGTGTTAGTTGACGAGGGCGATGTGGTGAAAGAAGGAGATGTGATTTGCGTGGTCCAACAAATGAAGATGGAACTAGAAGTACGCAGTCCACGGAGCGGACGCGTGACGTGGGTTACGGAAGCGGAGGATGGGGAAGATGTGGCGGAGGGGGTGTTGGCTGCAATTGTGGAAAGCTCGCAGGAAACTCGTCTCTAATATCTTTCCGTAATGCATTTATTCATTCATTATGTCTTCTCATAATCGACATAACTTGTATAGAATTCCTGGAATCTATGAGTTCCTTACATAGTCTCACACCTCACAGTCGTATAAACATTATCCTTCGTCGCCCGACTATACGGGCAAACCTGCCTCGCCTTGTACACAACCTTCTCCAGATCCTCCTTCGCCAGCCCGCGTACCTTGACGAGCAGCTGGACGCGCAGTCCCATGTCGAGGTCTTTCATGCTGCCGACCAGTTCAACGGTGGATTCTACGATCGAGTCTTCGGGTGTGGAGGGCATCTTGACGCCGAGGGAGGGGGCCACGGCGTTCATGGCGGATTGGACTAGTGGGGTTAGTTGGAGTGTTTTGGAGGACTGGTATGGGATCGGTAGGGGATGGAGACATACAGCACGCGCCGTAACCTGCTGCAAAGAGCTCTTCGGGGTTGGTCTTTCCGGCATCGCCGGGGCCGCCGAGGGCTTTGGCCATTGTTAGGTCGACCTTTAGGTTCTCGCCGTCTACATGTCTGGAGATGTGTCAGTTTGTTTCCTCGTGTGTTCAATGGAATAATTCATCGTACCCTGTGCGTGCGCCGACTACGTGCGCCTTTGCTGAGTAAAGCTTCGGTGCCGTCTCGGTGTTCAAGAAGCGACGGCATGGTGCCGCCATGGCATTCCGCTGCGAGACGCGAACCGCATTGCGGAGCATTGGTGTGAAGGTCCTGCTAGCCATTGTGTATGAATTGAGGTTTGTGTGCGGGTGATGAGCGGATTGATTTGTAGATATCCGAAACGGAAGATTGAAAGGACCAGGGCTAGATTGAGCGATTTACCTAAGCTCTACGAAAAGAAATCTGGAGCTATGACAGCTGTGACGTCCACGCGGCGATCTCGCGACGCTCAAAGTCATGACGTTTGCATCCAGCCAGCTTGGTGGGATCTAGCGCAAGGCACTCCCGCCGCTAGTGAAGCGAGATCTGGGGAGATCGCGCATCGCTGTGAGCCGCATATATAGGTAGGTAAGGATTGCAAATCTGCTGTTCGCCATGTGCAATAGTAATGCGGAGCGCGAGAAACGGTTCGCTTTCTTACCGTGCCGGCTTAGACATGAAATGCTACTACTTCCGCCATGCAAAAGAGTATCATGCGACGATACCTAGGTACATTGAGAACGGACACTTTCTACGGCTGCCAAAGTTCCAGCAACTTCCACCATACGCGCTACAATAGGGAAACTCTCTCCTGTTTTTAGGGCTGCAATACTGCTGGCTATCGATCTTCTTGCAGTAGAGGTACACTCGTCTTCAAAAACGCCCTAAGTTGTCGTGCGTTTGCCCTTGTCGTTCATTGAGAAGCACGAAGTGAAGGTGTGCTTGCTATAGAAACTGGCTCATCAGCAGAGGCTCCGGATGTCACAGTGCCTGCTTTTGAGCTCTCTCCTACTTGCATGGCTTCAGATTCGTCGTCTATCGGTATGATTGGTGAGGAGGTGACTCGGTGGTTGCAACTGCTTGGAGCTGCAGCGCTGCTGTGCAAATGCTCACCAGCTTCTGCTGTTCCAGCAGTGCTGGGTCTCGACTGATCTCTTTTTGGGCTCTTATCTTGAGTAGCTGAATTCGTAGATGGGAGCGAATCGGGATGTTGATCGGCTGTAAAGGTAGACTCATCTGGTTCTGGCGGGTTTTTCCATACTGTGCATCGCGCAAGTGATGCAACAACCAGAATCTTAGCATCTCGCTCATTGGCTGCCATTCCAGTATCCAACAGAATCTTCACAGCTTCGTCTACATTCAAGACTTTAGCACGCCCATCAGCAATCACATACCAATTCCTGCCTTTGTAGTCATATCTCACATTCATCTTCTGCCACCGCGCATCCATGAAACCAGCAAGCACCTCGGAAGCGAAATCAGCTGCTGGCTTCGCCAACTCAACGACTAGATAACCATACAAGCGGTTTTTGACAGCCCCGAGAGGCTCACTAAAGTCTTGCATGTTTTCGATACTTAGTCCAGTGCGCCGGGATTTATCATTCATCCTCGCGTAGTCGTAGTTCTCATACTGCTCTGCCACGTCACCATTGGCCAACAACAGAATACATAGTACTCTCGCGTCGACTTTGGCTTCGAGAAAGCTCTTCTTTCTGATATAATCATTCTTAGAGTATACCTTCGTAACATACATCTCGGCGGGCTGAGTAGGTTTTGAGTACCTCCACATTGCTAGTAGAGCATGCAATGCTTCCTCATCCACCCACCCATAATCTTCCGCCGTGAGCGCCAGTCGTACGTAGTATGGATCGGACTCGTTGACGCTGCTCTCCATTACGTGCACCCATGTGATGTCTGGGGAATGAGAACGCCCGTCACGTTTGTGTTGTAACTCACGTATGGCGCGGTGAAGATTCCGAGCATAGAGAGAGAGATCGTCATCAGCGTTAGACGACAAAGATTGTATCTTTCGCCGCAGTACGATCCTGGGGTCCTCGATGGTAATAAGATCCGCGCTGAGCGTACTGCGCGTACCGCCTTGCGACTCGCATGGTAGAAACCTCAAACGTTGCTTTGGCCAAGTATCACCCTCAGTGGGCCATGAGCCTTCGCAGGCATCGCCCACAGAGAGGGCAATCCAATTTGGGTTGGGTTCCAGCTCGAAATTTAACGGCGTATTCGAAATACCTCTGCGAATCCAAGCTCGGATGCAAGTCATCAACAGCGTCACCACGAGCTGGATGACTGTTGCCGACCAGTGTAGTGCTCTCAACCCGACAAACTGGCAAACAAATCCAGTCAAGCAAAGAGCAACAGCAACGACGACCTTTAGCTTCTGAACATTGCTTTTCGTTTCCAGCGAACGTTTGCGAGGATGTTTCGAGAACCTTGGAAGGATCTCCATAATGCGTTCTTGGACGAGCCCCCAACGGCCACTTGGCAATTTGTCTTGACCATCATTCGGGGATGCACCTTCTGCGCTAGTGCCTAGGTCGTGGGTATCATCTTGGTCAAACTCTTCAGGGTCGTATCTGGAAGTGCGAATTCGTTTATCATCAGGATGGTTCAGGATGATATAGGCTTTGAAGAGCTGATCACCCATATTCTGTTGTATTTGCAACCGGAAGACACTCTTCACCTCATAATCTCCCGTCGGTGCGAAAACATGCTCAACACTCGTTGCTTCGATTATACACGAGCATAATGCTATACTCATGACGAGTAAACACGTTCCTACGAGAAATGTTGGGTATGCATAGTCTTGAACAAGATCTGCACCCTTCGGTTTTCTCCAGTGATATGTCATGACTGCAGGTACTGCTACAGCAGCAAATTGCAGGGCAATTCCAAAGACCGCAAATATCCACAATTCTCTGCTCTTTGGGAGGGCATCGTGCACGTTGAGTGTGAGATTTGGTGGCTGGTCGGCAATCCTTCTAGCAAGTATGCCAGTAGAATCCTCGCCTTGGGTGGGAGCTTCCAACCGCTCATCAGATCCAAGGCCGGCCTCTCCGAACACGCCTTTGGGTCTGTTGGAACGGCTTTCTGTGGCAGGTCTGAGAACCCCCTGATCATAGGCATCACTAAGGTCGCCGATGCGAACTTCACTGGGTCTTTCGATTTCGATTCCATTCTGGCATGGACCTTTTTGCCCAGGCTTCATCCGGTAGACGACCAGCTCCAGAATCTTAGCATGGCCTGGTTGGCGCACGACTCCTTCCTCGGTCCAAAGCTCCGAAGTGGCATCTGAAGTCGATGAAAGCAGCTCCAGCTCTGCGGTCGCCAGTTTCTCTCGTGCACTTTTGACCAAGATTAGCAGAGTACGAGTCCTCAATGAGCGACTACTTACCGACCGATGATAGCCTTCAAGACTCTGACGTTTGAAACTCGAATCGCGGAGACTACCGTAGTGATTATGCCCAGCGGACCAACAGCAAGGAGTATATGGTCGGCCCAGCCAAGCGACATGCTGAGGAATTGTTTCGTGACTTGCTCTCCGAACAGCGTTAAGAGAGGCGCCAAATCGCTGCCGAGGTTGTTGATGAAGTCTTCGCCATTGAAGCCGTCTGAGGGGGTAGGCGTGGCGATGATCGGTATTGCGGTAGGCGTGCCGCTGGCGGTCGAGGTAGTCGCGGTCGGCGCCATGACGTTGACAAAAACGAAGGAGGAAGTGACGAAGGACGGCTGGGGTACGACGGAGCCGCGCGGGCACTCGATTTGAAGGCAGTCAAATGCGGCTGAGCTATTGCGCAGGCCAAAAATGCCGCAAGGCTGAGCACAAGAATCCCAGCAACGACGCTGGCGAGGCGGTTTGACTGACGGTGATGCGCCTAAGAAGCCTGGATTGTTATACCCTCAGTTGGCGTTGCCTCGGTTGAAGCGTGGGAATCTTTCGGTATGGTCTTAGGCATATCAAAGAGACATTAGTTGAGGGAAGGCAGGACGAAAGAAAGTTGCGGGGCTCAGGCTGAGACTTCATTAACATCAGCTATGCCTGAAGCGAAGGTGCATGAGGCAGATTGATATCTGAACGAATAAGACATCAAGCCACGCCTGACAGCAGGCGCTTATCGCTGCACTCCAGTGAGGAAGGGGCGGACGGGGCGGACGTCCAATTTTGACCAATTTGGGGATGTGTCATCTTTCAAAAGCCAATAGGGTATGCAGGTACACCAGGGACCTATCTTCTTTGGTATACGACGCGAGTGTGATTACTTGGGGTTGTGCTTCGGTTAGCAGGGGCCTGTCAGCGGGGTCTCAATCATCGCAGCTTTGCATGCCATCGTCTCGAAGATGATTGATTCAATAGTCTATAGTCTTCTTGATCGCATCGTAGACCCCTGTCAATGTCAGCAAAAGAGAGCGCCCGCATGTCAGTACATCGCAACTTACTAGTAACATCCGGAATAACGAATTGCTCGAACATGAGCCCGGTATGTGTCGCCCACCCTGTCACCCTCTTCACAGGCGCCTCTAGTCTAAGGAAGGCCTTCTCCTGGATCGTAGCAGCGACCTCAGCCCCCACACCAGCATTCATCATACTCTCGTGTACCACAATCGCCCTTCCAGTTTTCTTCACACTTTCCAGGACCGTCTCTCGGTCCCAGGGGTATATCGTCCGCAGATCTATCAGCTCAACGCTGCATCCAAAGTCCTTCTCTGCTGCTGCTATCGCGGCTGAGCATGTGTATAGTGGTGTGCCGTACGAGACGATTGTGACGTCCTTGCCTGTCTTGAGGACTTCAGCCTTGTCGAGCGGGAGGTAGAACGCGTCGACGGGTACGTGCTCGACGGCAGCGCGGTATAGTATCTTGGGCTCCATGAATATGACGGGGTCCTGACAGCGAATCGCGGAGAGGAGGAGGCCTTTGGCCTGGACGGGTGAGCGGGGTATTACGACGCGCAGGCCGGGCGTGTGGGTGAAGAGGGCTTCTGGGGATTGTGTGTGGTAGCTGGTGACGTGTCAGTAAATCTCATGAGTAGATGCTGCTGGAGTCATACAGTGCGCCATGTCCGACACTGCCTGATGGCATGCGGATGACTAGTCCTCCGCAGTTGACGCCAGTGCTTCCTGACCGATATCTGTACTTGGCCGCCTCATTGTGTATTTGGTCGAAGGCGGGGAAGACGTAATCGGCGAATTGGACTTCTGCTACTGGCTTCATGCCCTCGGCAGCTGCTCCTATAGCGAATCCCACGAGTCCCTGCTCGCTCAAGGGAGTGTTGAAGACGCGCTCTGTGCCGAAATCTCCGGCGAGGTTCATGGTACACCGGAAGACACCGCCAAATTGCACGTCTTCTCCAAACACCATGACGCGTTCGTCTGTTTGCAATGCATATCGCAGGGCTTCGTTGACGGCGGTGTAGAGGTTTATGCGCTTCGTCTGACCCTTCTGTATATCTGCAGGGAACTCGGGGTTCGCAAGGGAGGATTTGGCGGTGTGGTGGAGAATGGGCGTTGCATCGTACTCTACTGTGCCATTGAGGCGTGCGCCAGGTGCTGCCGAGGAGTATTGTATGCGTTGAAGGTGGTGTTGACAGCGGGGCCGGAGTGGTGCTTGCGGGCGAAGCAGATAGCGCGACAATGCGCGGATTGATGGTGTTCTAGCAGCCATGTCTATAGAAATGAGAGCAACAAGTTTCCCCAGAACTCCAGAAAAGGTACATGCAATAAAGTCATGCTGGGCACAAACATGCGAGCCGACGGTTGTGCGGGTGTATGCCGCGGCTACCAGCGGCTCTCCAGGTTTCAAACGTTGCGGAGTTTAGCGGGCAAGCGCCGAGAGAGGAAGGTGCAAGCACGTGATGTGGCTGAAAGTAACGTGACTCGAGGCTTGCCAAGATCAGAGGCGCTGCATAATGACGATTGACGCCAGAATGGTTCGCACGGCAGGTGGAGACTAGCGCATCCAGACTTCGATGTTTTGCGACAATTCTGCTAGATCACTGTGCGATCGTGATACAGAGGGCTTGCGGTTGTCGTTGCTTTGGGATCTACTGCAGCGTGTGACCAAGACAGCTATGACCTATGATTGCAGGAAGACGGCACCGTATTGGACTTGGCGCCTAGTCTTGAGCCTGGGGAAAGCAATACAGGCTAGCGGGAAGAAGCTCGCCCGGAGTCAACTTTGTGGCCGGCCCCTTGTACCGAAGACGCGCACACTTGTGTGATCAGAGGCAGATCTCATTGCGTGATGGAGTGACAGACTGCTGTTAATCACGCCGGGTGTATACAAAGGGTTGAGGTCTGACACAATAAGACTGCACGCGCCTTTGTCGCCTTTGGGAGGCTGCATCATACGTCTAGATCGCGGCCGTGCGCAGACCCACCAAACCGCTGCTTCCGCATCATTATTTGCGCGCCCACCACAAACCTTGGAGTCCACCTCTCTCGCCAGTCCATCTCCCCGACTCGGACACTCTTCATCTTCCCGCACTGAGGTGCTTCCCATGGCCATGAGCGCCCCTCGTCCACGCGCAGCCGCCAATGGCTCGATGCGGACTGCTCGCCTCGCCTTCATCGGCTTCTTCCACGCCTTCGCGCCCATGGTGACCGCGTTGCCCATGCCTTTTGGCGACGCGACCTTCAAGACCGCTGGGGAGGAGGTCCCCACGGACAACGATGGAGAGCGCTGGCTCCTACTGGGTATCGCCGTCGCGCTTGTCTTGGCCGGTGGTGTGTTTGCAGGTCTGACCATTGCGTGAGTACATCGCAGTCCCGCCATCGTGTCACAACGCGCTAACAGCGACTCTCCAGCTTGATGGGCCAGGACGAAATCTATCTCCAGGTCCTTGCTTCATCTGGCGAGAAGCACGAGCGCAAGAACGCGGCCAAGGTGCTGAAGCTGCTCGAGCGAGGCAAGCACTGGGTTCTGGTAACGCTACTCCTGAGTAACGTCATTACCAACGAAACCCTTCCTATAGTCCTGGACAGGTCCCTCGGCGGAGGATGGCCAGCCGTTGTCAGCTCCACCGTCCTCATTGGTACGCGCAAGCACTTCCAGCTACTCTGTTCCCGTCTAACAAGCCTCAGTCATCTTCGGTGAAGTCGTTCCTCAGTCAATTTGTGTGCGCTATGGTTTGCCAATCGGCGCCATCATGGCACCCATCGTCCTCGGCCTCATGTACATCATGGGCATCGTCGCCTGGCCGACTGCCAAACTCCTCGATTACCTCCTCGGAGAAGACCACGGTACCGTTTACAAGAAGGGTGGCTTGAAGACACTCGTCAGCCTGCACCAGTCGCTCGGACTCGAACACGAGCGCCTGAATGAAGACGAAGTCACCATTATCACCGCTGTGCTGGACCTCAAGGCCAAGGCTGTCGGCAACATCATGACGCCCATGAAGGACGTCTTCACCATGTCGTCCGACACTATCCTGGACGAGAAGATGATGGACAACATCCTGTCCGCTGGCTACTCGCGTATTCCCATCCACACCCCTGAGAACGAGAACAACTTCGTCGGTATGCTTCTGGTCAAGATGCTCATCACGTACGACCCCGAGGATGCTCTGCGCGTTCGCGACTTTGCTTTGGCCACCCTACCCGAGACGCGCCCGGAAACGAGCTGCCTTGACATTCTCAACTTCTTCCAGGAGGGCAAGTCCCACATGGTGCTAGTCTCTGAATTCCCCGCTGAGGCACGCGGTGCCGTCGGTGTGGTTACTCTGGAGGATGTCATCGAAGAACTGATCGGAGAGTAAGTCGTGCATCCTTGAAAAATACTCTGGCGGCTACATTGTCGCCTGCTCTTCCAACCAAGTTTGTACTAACGAGATCAGGGAAATTATCGACGAGTCCGACGTATTTATCGACGTGCACAAAGCGATCCGACGCATGGCCCCCGCCCCTCGCGCCCGCGTTCCTCGAGGCAAAGTCGTCACCGATATTCCCCGCAAACCTTCCGAAGCACAAGCTGTAGACTCCGAAACCGACGCGGAGCAGAATGGCAAGCCGGCTCCACGCAAGACCTCTCTACCCGAAATGCCTGAAGGCCACCCCAAGCCCTCTTTCCTCCTTCGTCGCCGTAGCAGCGGCAGCAAGGGAGCTGGTTCACCTCTTCGCAGCGACGACCCGACCGTCATGCAGCACCTGAAGCATCTCGGCCCTTCGAATGTCGCGACTAGGCCCAAGCAGACACGCATCAACACTGTCAAGATCAAGCCCGGCCAGGCAGCCGTGACCCCTGACATTCCCAAGACGATACCAGAAGACTCCCAGGCTCCCACCGAGGCAACTCCGACTGAGGGTGTAATAACCCAGGACTCCCATGCGCCTGAGGGTGGTATTGGTGAGGGCTTGCTAGCATCGGCAGGTCGTGAAGCCAGCGACGGCGTACACAGCGTAGCAGTGGGATATGGCACCATGGCTCCAAGTGGCGACCGAATGTCGTGGAGATCTGGCCGATCGGGTATGAGGGATCACGACGACGAACCTACGTCTCCGAAGGGTGGTGCAAACGATGACAACGAAAACACTCATCTCCTGGCCGACAACCGCAACGAGAACGGCGAGGCAAACAGATCACGGGCACGCTCCGTGAGCACCATTGCTTCCCTGCGCTCGATGCGCTCGCGTTCGCGCAGTCCCTTGAAAAAGCGACACACTGCTCGAAGCGGTAGCATCTCTGAGAACGTTGTCGATGTCAATGGCATCAAGAAGATCGTTTTGGAGACTACCAGTTCCAGCGACTCGGAAGAGAAAGCGAACGGCAGCCAAGTCGATGGTCAAGACGGCGAGAAGCATTCTGAAGCCGAGTCTTCGCATGCCGGGGGCAAAGGCGCAAGCAAAAAGAAGAGGAAGAAGCGAGGTAAGAAGAAGAAGGGTGGCGCTGGAGACAGCCACGAGTCGCAACCTCTGCTCGGAGACAGGTAACCCCATTACCCGTTTCGAGTATGTTGTTAATCCCGGTTTCTCACAGAGGTCATGAGCGAAATCGGTGCGAATGCGAGTGCGAAGTTTCTCAGTCATTTCGAGTCTGGCAAGATTAATAGGCATGCATCGGCGTCTTCTCCTTCTTCTACTTCGCCTTCGATGTTCAATGGGAAAATGGGTGAAAATAATGGGCATTGATAGGACTGGTATTTTTTCACAGAAGTGTATTATAAAAAGGCGTGCTGTTTCTTGGACGATGGTTGTCGTCTGTGAGTCTGGAATATATATCTACTAAGCTCGTGTACGTGGACCTTTTCTCACCTTCGCCACCAATGCATCAACATTGAGTTCGCATCCCTAACTCTGATCATCATGTCTCAACGCTACCACCGGTAGTACCAACACTCTAGTCCGACCAATAACCATAATCCTTATCCCCATAATCCCCCGCAACATCCGACCACGTCAACACGTCTTCAACTTCCTCGTAGCGCCCACACCACGCAGGTCTCGAAGATGACGGACGAAACCCCCTCGAACTAACCCCTTTCTTAACACTAGTCTTCTTGCTTTTGCCGCCGTAGTACCCCTTCCTCTTCTTCTCTCCCCAAATACTCAACTTGTTCGGCTGGTCAATACACCACAGCACCACCTCCCTCGCTGCGAAAGCATCTTCAACGGAATCATGGCCTACTTTGTCACCACCCTGGATCTTGATGTCGAGGAGTTGGCTGGACAGGTCTTTCAGTCCCCACCGCCTTTTCACACCCTTTCCCACGGCTTCGGCGGCTAAGATTGCGGAATCGACGATGCGGTCGTGTCGGATGCCCAGGGCTAACAAGTCATGCTGCAAAGCGTGTCCGACAAAGATAGTGTTACTATCGGCATATTTGAATAGCTCCATGCGTGCTTCGGTTGATCCTCTCAGAGCTTTCCCCTGAGACACCGCAGTCGCCATAGCCTGTCTTGTGATGCCGCTGTATTTCGTCCGCCAGTCCGTGACGGGCTGTGTGGGTTCAACGAGCGTATCTATGAGGGTCTCATTGGTAAGGTAGTCGATTACCGAGATGCGGGCTAACGAGGATGTGTTATTCGGGTTTATGCCAACCATCTCGCAGTCGATGGATATGGCCGCGCGCTTTGGATTTGTCTTGTAAGGGATAGGTAGCGTTGTTCCGAACTTGTATTCGTTGGCTGTGAGAATTGGTCGGGCGTGGCAGTTGAGGATGAGTGCGGTAAGTGCTGCGGGTTGTTTGCTGTCTGGGATGACTGTCCAATCTGGGACTGCGTATGTTGTCAGGGTTTGCGGTTTTGGTGTGGTGGCTTTCGGTTGGAAAGCTTTTGGCTGGAGAGCTTTTGGCTGGGGAGCTTTTGGCTGGGGAGCTTTGAATTGAGGAGCTTTGGGTTGGGAAGCTGTGGGTTGGGAAGCTTTTGGTTGGGGAGCTTTTGATTTCGAAGCTTTAGGATTGGGGACTTGTGGATTGGGGACTTGTGGATTGGGGACTTGTGCTTTGGAAGCTTTTGATCGTGGTGTGGTTCTCTGTTGAGTGCGCTCCTTGATGAATGTAATTTGTTTGGACGGTCGTGGCGTGGAGGACGTATCTTGGGCATTCGACCATGAAGGTATTTTTGTATGACATGAAGACTCAGGGTCCGTTGTGAGAGTCGTCCAAGTCATAGTCGTTGCTATCCCGACACGAGAGGCTGCGAACTCGGCGTTCTTCGTAGAAATTGTGCCTGGGGCATTGATCACCTCCAGAGTAGAAGTGCTGTCACTCGCAGTGGTAGGTACCGCATGCTTAGACCTAGAATGATCTGACAAGGCTTTGGCGCTGGCGAATGCTTTTGTGCAAGAAGTACATGTGAAGGCTGATGAAGCAGGTTTGGAGCTCTTCTTTGGTGCCATTGGTGTGACGTTTTCCTATCAACGATAACAACGTGAAAATACAAGCCCGTAGTTTTGCTTCCAAAGGAGGAACAAAGGTTATCATGAGTATGGATGATAGCGGCGGGACGGGCTGCTGGTGATACCTGCCCAGGCTTCCATGCTGTGTAACAACGGAGGGCAACGCAGCCTACCCCGCCGCCCACTCAGTGTTCGCCACGTCGGCCCAGCGCCCATGCGTCTGGCACTCATCGCAGTGATGAAACCTTTGCATGGTAGTAGATAAGCCGTGTTCCGCACATATGTACAATCCTAGTGAGGTCGCAGGGAAGCACGGGTATTCTAGTGAAAGGCTGAGGTGGCGTTGCCTCACGGCGCTTTCGTGACACTAAGTTGAACGGCTTTGGAGGTTCGGTGCGGTCACTAATGTAGAGTATGGGTGCCAGCATAGAAGCAAAGTTTGATCAGGGTGCATCCTTCGTGCGAGTTGGAAGGCGCGGGCGCGTTGTGACACTCGGTCGCGCCATTCCATAAGAGGAAAGGTCTCAGAGCGGGATACGGGTTACGCCCGAACAGCAACACATACATCCATCAGTGCAGTCTTCTCAGTCCGAACTCCGAACAACATGGTCAACGTCGTTGTAGAGCCACTGCAGCTCCAATAACAATCATTGCGCCCAGCCGAGTCAGCATAGTAGGTGACGATCGATAAGAGAACGTTGCACGTCGCCGCTCGCGTCGTCATCTCCAAGCCCCGCGTAAGGCGAGCAATTGCGCAAGGCGCCCAGCGGCATGGCCATTCAAGCACCAGCCTTGCCATCGCGAGACACCGCCGGCAGTATACCAACAGTTGCTTGGTACTTATGGAAGATTTTGTCAATCAACAAGGATCGGGTGGGTGTCCTGAAGCTTGCGTTGATGCTTATCAAGCTCTATATAGTGTCGCAGTCTCCCGCGAATATCGTGCTACACTACGGGCTCGTAGAACGCAAAAATGTTCTCCGCCGCCTCCTCGATGCTATCCTTGTTACTAGCATACTTTGTCTACATAACGACTTACAGGGTCTTCTTCCACCCGCTACACAACGTTCCCGGCCCCTTCCTGGCGCGTCTCAGTAAATTATGGCTTGCGTGGCACGTCCGAAAAGGACAATCGCATGTCTACTTCCCCAAACTACACGCGCGATATGGGCCTATTGTGCGCATAGCACCTGACCAAGTCCTAGTCTGCGACGAAAACGCCATCAAAACCGTTTATGGAGCAGCGACGTCGTTCACGAAAGGGGATTGGTATCGCATAGCTGGCGCACCTGACAAAAGCCGGAAACCCGCCGAGGAGGTTCTCGATATGCTGACAGAAACCAACATGGAGAAGTATCGCAGGCAAAGAAGAGCTATCGGGCCTGCCTATAGCATTGCGGGGTTAGAAAAGCATGAGGGATTGCTTGATGCCTACATCGATCAGTACGTCGGCAGGCTGAAAGAGTTTGGAGGAAAAGAGGTAGATCTTGCGGAATGGACCCATATATTCGCCTTGGAGTCTATGAGCCAGTTCACTCTTGGCAAGAGACCAGGATACACGGAGAAAGGCAGTGACGAAGGGAACGGAGATGCCAGCGATGCGTTATGGCAATGCTTCACTGTGATTGGCATCTTCCCATGGCTCGTAAAGCTGATGCATGCGATACCGAAAGTCGGCATGTTGCTCGTTCTACCCGCGTCCCTGCTGCTAGGTGTGCGACTACCGAAGGTTTGGCCCGTCTTCAGCTTCTCTGCTCCGACAATAATGCAGAGATTGAAAGCACTGGATAGTACGAGGAACGTCAAGTTTCCCGGGGACCGACCAGGGCTCTTCCACGACCAAGGAACAGATGTCAAGCCATTGGAGCAACAGGGAGATGGCATTGAAGAGACGGATATGTTGGCTACTTTGATGCGTCTGCATCATGACAAGGAGGCACGTTTCCCTCCTTCATGGGTTCTCTCGATAGCTCTTACCAACTTCGGCGCTGGACATGACACGCTCATGTTCACCCTTTCTTCGGTCATTTACCATACGTACAGGTCGCCAGCCATCCTCACCCGCCTACGTAAAGACATGGAAAGCCAGGGCATCTCAAAGAATACCAAATACTCTGAAATGATCCAGAAGGTACCATTGTTCCTCGCCATTATGAAAGAAAGCATGAGGATCTGGCCTACGCTCGGATGGTACATCCCTCGCCTCGTGCCCGCTTCCGGAGCTACACTATGCGATACCTACCTTCCACCCGGGACTACAGTCGGGACTAACCTCTGGGCTTCACACTTTGATCCTGAGGTCTTCGCAAATCCAACTAAGTTTGACCCAGACAGATGGCTTTCCGGTGGTAGCGAAGACAAGATGAAGGAGATTGGCAGAATGGACAGTGTGTGGATGGGATTCGGGGGTGGAGGTAGAAGCTGCCCTGGCCAACATCTTGCGAGGTTCTTTGTTGTCAAAACACTGGCTCGGTTGGTTATGGAATGTAATGTTGAGGTGACGGGAAAGCCGGAGATTGGTGGTTGGTTCCAGTGCACCATGAAGGGCGTTAATATTAGCGTCAAGGAGAGAAAGACGCACTGATAGCAGTGAAGGAGGGAAAGGTGGCACATACGTCTGTCTGCATATCGGAGTTTTATAGTAGGTGCAGACGGTGCCTTGTCTGGAAACCCTCCCAGGAGGGTACTTGACGTCATTGCGGCAGTCGATGCTCGTTCTTCTATTTGTAAACTGCGATAGTGTTGACGATGAGGCGGGCGGAGCTGAGGTCTGCAACCAAAGGTGCGGCCCGAAGCGTCGGAATGAAGAGTTCCGATGTCGGAACCGCCCGGCGAGCGCATCTCACCTAGACACCATTTGGCTGCAACACTGAACACCTTGAGGCCCAGATCATCTTTCATTCCCCATCATGTGCATCTGTCTCATCCTGCGGGACTTCCCTTCGCCATTCTCATCTCCTGATCTGCCCCGCCGATCGCCGATCGCACTCTATCCTGCTTGATTGTGGCGTCAGTCGTCCAGTAACGCAACAGGAAAACAGCCCCCAATTGATCTCCATGCAGCGGCACGGCGCGGGGAGTATTAGCAGAATGCTTCGCGTCCCAAAGACACAAGCTGTGTACACTCTACATGTCTGTCAGCATGGAGTACAATCCAGGTAAGGGTTGCTCAGATAGCGCAATATTACCCAGTAGATTGCGTCCGTCCCAAGTTGTAACGGGGCTAACGAGACTCCAGCAAGCCGGGGATCAGATGAGATTGGCGACTTTCCTGACATCATAGTCACATCGCACGATGAGCTCAATACGCCGGGAAGACCACGCATCGATCTTGAACCTTTGTTCTACGATGGCCATCGCCAATATGGAACTAGCCCGGGGAGGGGGGATGCTGCGAGGAAGGTTCTTGAAGATTGGGAAGAGAGATACAAAGCCGACCCAATTTCTCAGGTCGATTTCTTTCGCCCGGAAGAGCTAGACTCAACCTGCGGCGCCTCTTCAAGAGACGAGGACGATGAGCTGGAACTTGACGTTGGTGATGAGCTGCTGACGGACCATACGGTGCCCCAAATCGTTGTTCATCAGCCAGATGGATCCAACGCGTCTGCAGGATTCATCGAGAAACCATCGTTGAAGAAAGCACTTCCATTAAGGCAGGAGGCACGTTTCGCGCCGGTGAATAATCTCGAGAATACACTGAGGCCCGCTATTCGTCTACGGCGACATAGCTTCAGTAATGTCTCCGTACAAGACCTCACCAGGGAACCAAATTTGAACGCTTTCGCGAAGCCAAAGGTCCACCAGACACCACAGCCATGGAGTCGCATCGACGCGGGTCCGAAAAGTGGATGGAAGATGCGTTCACGATGTTCGCCTTGGCCAGAGACCGGGCACCTCGTCGATATTGTGGTAGTCTATTTATACAACTCCGGCTTGTGCGACACGTCTACGGACCCCGATCTTGACCTAGACGCTTTCCGACATCAAGCCCAATCTCAAGTGGAAAGCCCTAGTAACGCCCCAACGCAGCCGATCCGCCGTGCTAGAACAGATATCGGAAGAATGCATCGTCAAGTTTTGCCGACCATTTTCACGAACACCCAAAACCGCATCCCTTTTGAGAGCGCCAAGCCGCGACCCGTGAGCTGGATACAGGATGAAAATATGCTGCGAAAGCGGTTACCTGGCAGCCGGGTTATCACTGTCGGCTTTGACTTGACTTCCATGCTCTCTACCGTACCTGATTTCGAGGCTGCAGCGCAGCGACTCCATGAGCGTTTGTGTCAAATGCGAGAACACCGTCAAGCACCAATTGTGTTTCTTGGTCACTCATTTGGCTGCTTGATCATACTACACGCGCTTGCATCACTTCCATCTGGCCATGCTCTGGCCTCGAATGTCTTACCCCACACCGCGGGGGTGTTTTTCTTCTCTTGTTCACTTTCTAGTCCTGAGAGATGCGCTCAATCATTCACTAAGATCCATGGAGTGAAGCCCAGCGGAAAGGTTCTCAATGACCTCCTTAGCAGTGCTTCCATGAGCCGGTTACGCGAGAAGGCGAAGACCAGCTTAGTATCTTCACGACAAGGGCAACAAGACGCGTTCAGAGGCCCATCACGTGGGAATCAGAGCCCATTAAGTATCAAGAGAACTGCGATCGGGTTTCCAATAACACAGATACACGCTCGTGGAGATGACCAAGGGACTGGTCAGGGCTCAATCAGCGAACTCTTCGGCATTTCAACCCGTACCTTGATATTCTCTCGGGATGCTGCAAACGTGCTGAAGTTCGCCGCTTCTGATGACGTGGACTTCATGCGTTTGACGTTGCTAGTAAAGGCCAATTTACAATTGTTTGGCCTTCTGCGAGCGTCCATCGATAACAACCCAAGGGAAGTCGACGCTCTACTTGGAGAGTGTGTCAGTCCCAATCTACGTGATAGGTGGTAAGTACGCAGATTTCTCATAAGCGACGGAGATTTCAAGTTCAAGAGGTGCGATCTTGGACTCTGGTACGGGATATGTCCTCCGGGTCATATGAATGTTTCGGGTGCACTGCATTAGGCGCACTTTGAGTAATGACTGACCATATCAAATAGGCAGCAAACACCACTTCAGATCGCCGTAAGACTTAATCACGAGAAACTTGTTCACCGTCTTCTCAATGTCGACGGGGTAGACGTCAACGTGCGTGATAGCCAGCTGAATACGCCACTCCATCACGCAGTCCGCAACGGAAACGAGACGATCATCAGGGCATTGTTGCACCATGGCGCAGACATTGCAGTGGAAAATACACACAAGCGAACACCAAAAGCTCTTGCTGAAAGACACAAATCTCGTAGGCACATAGCGAAAATGTTGCGCAGTCGCGTGGTGAAGGGGCCAGATCATCGTCCCAGCGCCCAGAGGATAGGAAGTGGTCAGTCGCCCACTTCGAGAGAGGGCAAATTAGCGTGCAAGAATTATCAAGTCACAGTGACGGAAGTGTATGCATCAAAATCTAGCGACAAGCATTGGAGTGTGAGCATCTCAGTTGAAGCGCTTCTGTACGGAAGCACCTCGTTGAAAGATGTCCTTGGGCAGGTCAGGCCCAAAGAGGTCGCCGGAAAAGTGCCGGTCTGTACTTGGGTGCACGTTCCAGAAAACAACGTAGGTTCGCAGCCCCTCTGAGATCTTCTTGCATATCGCTGATCAATCACAGATGGTTTGGGTCGAGGTATGTAGCGTGTCGATATCGATTACTTGCGCTGACCCAGGCTAGGATCTGTTTTCGAAACTAGGCCTACACCCTGCGATATGGCAAGAGACCAGGAGATCTGTTACAGGATCTTTGCGCAATGTGCGTTCTTTCTATCGCTGTTCTTACGATTACTGACTAGGATAGCGTGCTATAACTCCTCATATCGGAACAAGTGACCATCATTCAATCTTTGTACGCTTCCCATCATAGCTCTTTGATAGACGCTGCTGACGCGGTCAGATTCCTTTCTTGAGCTATGAAGCCAACATGCGACACGAAAGACGGACGGAATATGTGCATGAGGTTGACCAAGAGCACTCACTACAAAGCCCCGCTGATGTGAACATACCGGGATCAGTGACAATGGAAGTCCTGCGCAAGATGTCGCACAAATCATCGTCAATAGAGCCCGAACTTCTAGAAGTCCCTGTCAGACACGGTCTGAACTTTCTACCATCATCCGACGATTATGACTCCGACTTTTCAGACACCTATGACGCGGACGATCCTGATGATTTGGAAGAAGAGGAAAAGGCTTTGGTTACCGCGTACCTACATGACCCTCCAGCTCTGCATATCCGACGGTAAGTTGCTACTCATTTACTTGAGTCCATCTGCTAACGGTGCAGGACGTTGGACCAGTACTACTACCATATGCTTGACAATACGAAGGAGCGCGACATGGACCAGGTCGTGTCTCGATGGGCAAAACACATGAAATCCGAGGCTCGGCACAATATTCTTATGGTGGATCAACTCTGGCTTTGGTCCACTCATCAGAAACTGTCTCCAAACAAAGCTCAAGACAAGGTATCTGAAACTCGGACGAATCGTGAGCAGATGGTAATGAACAATGGGAATAAACTGGATGAAGAACCTCAGGACCACTATGTCATATCTTGCTTCCCAAGCAGAACAGGAACCGGCCAGCAAGCGCACCGCGTCATGGATGATCTTAGACTACTAGTCTTAGATCCGACGCACCGAAAACGATATCCCATCCGTAAACCGGAAGACCTCACTTCACGCATATTGGAGACCTGCTGCAGCGTCTTTGATAGACTGCTGGATGCGGAGCCGCTTCGCTTTTTTCAGATGTTCGAAGAGAGTGTTGGAACGTTAGTAGGTTTTGAGAAAAGTGCTCTGCTTACTATGGCTGACTTTCGAAGGACGACAAGGAGAGTCGGCTCTTTCGATCCTTTCAACGCGGGTCTACACATCTTATGCAGCTCAAAGCGACCAATAAATACTACGAGGAAAGAAAAAATAAACTTCTCGTCGATCTTCTCGACATCCGCGAAGAAGTGAAGCTCTTGGTTGAGATAAAAGACATCCTCGATGAGATCAACATCATTCTCTCAGTACTAGACATACAACGGACGGTCATCGAGCAGCGACAGAAGGCGGAAGGGTTCAATTTCTTGGGTAATTCAGCTGCAGAGGATCTCATCAAAGCCGACATAGACGACTTCAAGAAGCTTGAAGGTCACAGCCGCACGATACAAGAGAAGGTATGGCAGACATTGCAAAGAGTGGAACAGAGCTAATTCACAACAGATCAATACTTTGATGGATCTCAAACAGAAGGCTGCGAATGCCTGGGAAGCACGAGAAGCTCGTGAAACCACAGTTGCGGCGAGTAAACAAGGAAATGTAGGAAATCACCATGTTGTCTCGCTCTGCCCAGCTTACAATGTACAGACAATCTTGGTATTCACAATCGTGACCATAGTGTTTCTTCCTCTGTCCTTCATGTCATCCTTTTTTGCGATCGGCATTGCCGCTTTCCCCAAAGACAATATCACTGGAGAGACCAACTGGCCGCTTGGTATTGTTACCGGCCTAGTATGTAAGTGGCTTTCCCCTGTTGGCGTTCTCGTCAAGGCTCCTCTCGCTAATGCATCCTCACAGTCGGCATTTCTCTCAGCGTTTCCATTCCCCTCATCGTTCTCGCACTGAACATGGAGCACTGCGCAGCGACTTATCGAGAACTACGTGACAACTACTTCGCGCGCACTGGGATGTATCTTATCGCGCTAGCGATACCCATAATACCAGAGAGATGGGCGAACATGTTGGGGGAAGAATGGAATGCAAAGCTGCGAAGACGCTATGAGGCGTATACAGAGGATGGGTCACGCGACATCATGTCTAGCTCCACGTTGATGGTTCACAAAGAGCGAGGGGAGACATCGATAAGTTAACATGTAGTAGTGAATCAGATGCAATGAAATCGATGGTGCATGCTTCTATCATAAGCTTAGCTACAGTGCTGACAGCCAGAGCGATAGCACGTGGCCTTAAAGGACTTACTTTGTATAACAAGAAACCAAATAGGCCTGCAGCCTACATAACGATAAGATCTCACAATTTAGTCAACCCAACGTTTGTGTATGCTCTGAGGTGTTGTTGAAGTCTTCGCAACAACATCCTCAGCCAACTGCCACACCCGAGCAAGCACATCCTCAGCCGCATTGCTTCCAAGCCAAGCGCGCGCCTTTTCAACAACCAACTCCCAAGTCTCCTCCTCGTCCTGCATCTTCTTCTCCAGAAACAGGACTACGACTGCAGTAGCCAGAAGCTGTTCGGAGTTCTGCTCGTTGAGTTGAGCGTTACATGAGCTAGCGGCGTCGCGGTCGAGCTTCATCTCATCGAACGGAAGCTTATCGATGGCTTCCCAAGACCCTTCAAAGGACTGTCGTGCGATGAGGCGCTGGAGCAGGGTGCCGGTCTCTTCCTGTACTTTGTGCCTTTGTGGCGGAGAGAAAGAGGGACCCATGGCCGACCGACTCGACCGTTTCGAACCCGACCGACCCGTTGACTCTAATACTTGCGCAGGAGATAATGTGCGCAGCGCTGACGGTTGGCCAGGATGAGCCATGGGTGCTGCACTGGCTTTCTCGAAACATCCAAAGCCCATGTCTTCGTCTGAGCCGGCGTCATCCACTGTGCTGTTCATGCCAAATAGTGCAGGGCCAGCAGCCATCCTTCTAGCTTGGAAGTGCCCGCCTTGTCCGCCTCCGCCGCCTCGCCCGCCGCCAGTACGGGCAAAGGGGCCGCCGCCGTAGCCTCCACGGAACATAGCGAAGGATCCAGACTTCGCCGACGCAGATGTAGGTCCACTGGCAAATCGTGTATCGCCACCATACGAAGTGGTAATCGGTGATCTGCATGCTTGGCCATGCTCCAGGACCTCCCAGTCATCGTCATCCGCTAGATCAGTCCGTTTCACTGTCGATTCCAGAGCTTTTTGACGTTTTTCGGCGATTTCGGTCTCGTTAGACTCTACGGCTACAAATGAACAGTGCTTGCCGCCGACCTGGAACTCCACTCCAAGACGGACAGCCTCGCGTCTCTGAAGCAACAGATACTGAGAGCTATACTTCATTTGGAACAGGACGTCAGTATCGCCAACGGTAGCTTCAGATAGCCATCCATGACCCTCTTCGAGCTCCTGTGTTGCTTTGCGGGCAGCAAGCTGGTGAATCATCTCGTCGGCCTCGTTGCGTACTTCTACTGGAATCTCTAGCTCCAATGGGCCTTGGGGTGAGGTGCCTTTGAGAACAACACTCTTTGGTTGCAGGTGTGATGACTCTGGAGACATGAGGAGATAGACACAGGTACGGTTGAACGGAAAGAGCGCTGGTATCTCGTGGGGTGTCTGCAAAAGCGTTGGGCGCTTTAGCTCCGGAAGACCCGCGAAGATGTCCTTTGACTCGCCGTCCTTGGGATGCTCTTCCACTACGTCCGGATTATAGAGCGAGATGGGCTTCGCGTCGGTGTCTGGGACTTTCGTTTGCTTTTCGTCGTTATCGTTGTCCATATGAAGGTTAATACGAAGGTTGTCGGCAACAGACTCGACGCTGTCATCTTCGTATTTGACTTCGAGACTGTAATCCTGGATATGAGGGGTGAGTGCACCCTTCAGCATGCGAACAATCTTGCTATCAAGCTTTTCGTTATCTGCAACCATCTGAGCGAAGCCTCTCCCGGCCCTCGCGACGCCTTCAATGAGCGCACTAGACACACCTCCACCTATACCGATGGGGAAGACACGGACGTTGCCATTCTTCGTGTTCTTGAAGACGTAGTCGAACAGCTGGTCTTGAGCCCAAATGTCGCCATCGGTAAGTAGCATGAGCTCGGTAGGAAGTTCGGTGTTGCGAGCTTCGAAACAGGCCTTGACCGCATCGAGTGTCTCGGTCCCGCCAAAATCGGCCCCGAACGCTTCTACATGTCGAATAGCCTCCTCCAGTGTATCTTGGCCATACAACTGACTCTGTTTCCAAAGAAAGGAGTAGTTGCTACCGAATGAACAGATGTTGAACATGCAGCCGATAGGGATCGATTTCAAGAAGACCTTCAGTGCCGACACCAGCGTGGGGATCTGGCCGCCCATGCTACCCGATCGATCCGCAATGAAGATGATCTCGGGCTTCTGCGACTTGAGATTGAACTTCGGTACCAGTGTGGTCATCAATGCTCGCTGATTGGGGAGCGTCGGGTGAGTCTCCAAGATCGCCTGAGGTACGCCGACGTCTTTTGCAACCACCTGTAACACGAAGTCCTTGTCTAGGCCTGTGGTACCTAGGGAAAGCGTGGCTGAACCTTGCGAGAGCAAGGCATCCTCATCGATGGTACTTGTTGAGAGCGACCCAAGCGTTACTTCGATGGGATGTGATGGCGAGATGACCTTCTTGATGGGAACACCTTGTGCCATCTTGACATCCACGGTAATGGAGATGCCCTTCGAATCAGTTTCCGCAGATGTCTCTTGGAGCTTTCCGGGATAGGATCCGTAACGGGGTGAGATAGACGTAGGGATGGTAAGACGAATTCCATTGACTTCGGCATCGTGCTTCAGCTCTTGGATATATTTGATGGACACATGCACAGATGCGCCTCCGGGGATGTTGCTGATGGCAGTTGAGAAGACATCCGCCGCCTCATCTAGTTGTTCAAGCAGCGCTGCGGCTTCGCCTCTCTCCTTGGCCTTTTTGTAGGTCTTCTTGGCTTCGTTCTTGTCCTTGACTAGGCCGTAGATGGTACGCTCGCCGATTTGGCAGAAGAACTCGACAACGCTGACGCCATCGAACAACGGAAAGGCGTATCGGATCTCATCCAATGGCTCCTTGGACCGGTTCACGAATGTCTGCGTCAAGGTGGTGCGGGCGGCCGTGGAGATAATCGTCGTGTGTGCGTCAACCTTAATCTGGGGGAGGTATGTTCGCTCCCGCGTTCCGGGATGGGAGATGTAACAACCGCACACGTGGCGCATCGTTTCTGTTCTTGTTCGAGGTTTGGGGAGATGAGAGTTAATGTTTTTGGTGTCTGTCAGGAAACAGCGCGCGCGCTCCTGATATACTTGACCGGCCGGCTGCTGCCTGTTACAACCTTGGGTGGGGAAGTCCCTACCGCTGAGGTATGATAGGCCCCCAATGGTCGTGCCAAACTTCGAGCTCATGAGTCACAAACTGCGGGGATCGTACCATCAAAAGGGTCCGGATTATGGTGTTGAGAGCCCCATAACTCGTTTGAAGCTGTTCCCATTGACGAGCACTTCTCTTTTGGTAAGTACGTTACAGTTAGTACTTGTTTCATTCGACCATTCGAGATTTTCAAAGCTCGCAGAATGAGTCGCATCCCACACTCTGACGGCTACATGCCGCGTAACATCGTTGAGTTGTTAGTTTGTGCTGCGTTGCAGCCTCCACGGCTACCTGGACTAGGTAGTCAGGCATCCTAGATTCTGGGGGCGGCCCGGCGGAACCATCAAGCAAGGCGAGAGATGGCTGGAACGATGACTCCTACACAGCGCGCAAAGATGAACGCGACCGCATTTCGTGATGTCGCGCGTGTGGGTTGACGGAGGAGAGAGACGCCGAAGTGTCGCGTCGCCCGATTTCTCAGACACCAACTGTGTCATGACGTCAGGCATCATCGCACACTTTTGAAACCTCGCGTCTGGCCGCAATGATATATACGTCGCCCATTAATTTCTCTGGTGCTGTTTTTCCAGCAATAATACCTCGCCAGCATAGACACGCAAGATGGAAATCCCTGGGTACGACGCGCTGGTGTATTACGCCACACCACCCAACAGCTACATCGGCACCACCATCTTCCTCTCTTACATCGTCGCAGCACTTTACGCGACCATCAAGATCAGCTACTCGCTCTACTCTCAGTACTCGGCCATATTCAACACTTCTAGCCCGTCAAAAGATGAGAAGCTCAATGCAGCAAAGGCAGCGCGAGCGCGCCACATCAAGATCTACGCGTTCCTTGCTTCGATCAGCTTCGCGACATTGTCCTACCACATGCTCATGTTCCTGATCACGCACTACCTGGAATGGAGCGGAGATGAGAGCCGGAGCTTCAGTAATGTCAGTGCGGATCAGGTGAAGAGATGGATGTTAGAATCGACTTTATTCCAAGATTTTGCGCAGGATCTGGTCAAAGACGCGCCGAACGCGATGTGGACGCAGGCTGCGATTCTGGCGACGTGGTTTTGGAATATTTATATGGCGCAGAAGGGTAAGCAGCGTTCGATGCATATGTGTGAGTGGATGCTAATGTACATGTAGCGAGAACGCGCAGATACGACACGTCGATGGTGCGCACCTACATCTTGCTCGGCCAGATCCTACCCATATCTTTTACAGTTTCGCTGTTCCTGATCCAACTCCATCTTTCATCTCCGGATATTGCAGTCGCAAAAGGAGCAGCTAAACCCGATGCTACGCCCAAACATCGCAAGCCTATAGCAACACTGCAAATCCCGAACATTCTTCTCAACGCGGCTCTACTCGCACTTCCAGCTCTACGATCCAACTCAGTCTTCAGCGGTCTACTTCTTGTTACTCACGCCATTTTGTTACTTCCCCACTTTTCGGCTATGAGCTTGAGGGATGCGGATGTTGTTAAATGTATTACTGTTTCTGGTGGATTTGCGGTTGCAAATGCGGCGATGATGAGGAAGGATCTCACGCCTGGCAGCGTCGTGGGATCTTTAGTAAACGGCGGATATGCAGTGAAAGCTCTGGGATGGGATGCAGTATTGGGTCTGATAGTGTATGTTGTGTTGGGGTGGGGCGGAGGGGTCTGAGTATACGACTAGTTGCCTTCTAGCTATCGATCAAGTGCCGCATTCATGCTAAGAAATACCTTATACACGCAAAGCCCTACGCAGATTTGCAGACTACATCAAGATACAAACATGCAAAATAGCTGAGTTGACGTTGATGTAGGCTCTATGGTGTTCAATCTCTTCCCATTTTGACGCGAAATGGTCAATCATAGGTTCCCAGCTGCATTATGCGGTGCCATTTCCAAGTTTGCTTGGTGCATTGTTACCCCTTCCCTTCTTGTACCAACCCACTCTCGCACCTTCCGATACCAAATGCTGAACCAACGGTGCTGTGGCTTCCTCCAGAAGCGGAATGACGTCATCGTATATGAAGTGGACGAGAAATCCGACTTTCAGTCCCTCGAGGTGTTTGATATGACGGAGGTACCACAAGGGTTCAAGTTGCTTGGCGTATTGAGCTTGAGTCTTGGTGCCGCAGTCGAATTTAAGCTCGATTTGAATGTGGCGGATATGCTCCTTCGGATCACAGCTAGTCAAAAGAACGTCGTAGTTCAGTATGAACTTGAGCTCATACATGCTTGCCACCCGTAGAAGTTTGGTACGGTAGAGAGTCTCTGCTAACTCAATTCGGTAGGTCTCGTGGACGTGTTCGTATACTGCGAAATGTGGAATCTCAACGCCTTTGATGGTACATCTCCTGACAGGGAACTCCTTGTCGTTGCTAGTGAACTCTGCAAGATTCCAGTCCGCAGGACTGTTGACCATGAGCACTTGATGCTGACGGTTGATGCACCGGCTCTCGAGGATGTACGTGTAGATGATGTCGCGGAGTTCCCGAGGTAACTGGTGCACCATCTTCGAGGTGAGCTCTGAGCACCAGCCTGGGCTGGCGTCGTCACATACGAGTCTCAAGAACCTGTTGTATGTTAGTTCCCTTCCTGATGGATGTGATGACTTGTATCTTACGACTGGAAGAAGACTCCTTTCGGGTACATTCGAAGTTCCACCTCGTTGCGTGGCTTGGTGGCTGCCATCTTTGCTTCTGAAGCTTTGGTACTAGTTCATCTCGTTAGGTTCAAATTCATGATGATACCAGCCGCTACAGTTTCTCCAAAGCGGAGAGCATGTATGCATGACTGGGATCATCATCGGCGTTGCGCCGTGGAGTCGATATGCTGAGCATACTTTTTGTGCTTGTCGAGTAGAAGTGTTCTGCTTGCTTAGTAGGCTCAATCTCCTTCGTCACGGCAATTGTCAGTAGTCAGAGGTTCTGGTGTGCGGCAAAGGTGGACGAAAGCTCAACGACCGTTTGTTTGACCAAAGTCGTCAGTGGGGGTCAGTGCGTACCGAGCTGGGAGCTGTTTGCATCGTCTAGGCAACTAAGTCTCGAGGCACGTGTCTCTTCTGCGACAAACCTCCAGGGCGATTCGGAGGAGAAGAGTGAGTGCCTTTTGTTGAGGACCATATAGAGCGGTCAACATGATGGCTCAGATCGCCTTGCTGAGACCGAGTACTGCGCGACATACGTTTGACGACTCGAGGTAACTTTGCTCTTGGATGACAGACATTGCACGTGTAGTACGCTCCTATTGATGACAATACTTCCTATCATACGAGCAGTGACCTGAAGGCCTCGCTAATAGGCTTGAACTTGTCAGGTTGTGACAGCGCCCAGTCACGCACCTTGTCAATACCCTCCAGATCCGCCCGCATATGATCACTCGAAGTAGTTCCATTGAGCACCACAACTCCTTGATCCATGACCAGAGCGTAAAGCGCAACAGGCAGTCCGACACCCGCTACTTGAGCCAACGCAGTAACCGGCTCGGATCTGATTAGAGAAGGATTGCCGGTCAAAGTCCAGAAGGACTGGTACATGATGTCGTGTTCTCGGCAGAAGGCGCGCAACGGTACATCGTAGCGCGTCTGAGGGTAGAAGCGATTCTGAACGACCGACGGCTTTATTGTGGCATTCTCGTGGATGGCTTGGAGAATGGGGAGGCTGACGTTTGAGATGCCGAGGGAGCGGATCTTGTCGGGCACATAAGACTCTAGCAGTTTCCAGGCTTGCAGTGTTTGGTCAATGGTAGGTAGTGGAGAGTGCAGAAGTAAACAGTCAACGTATGATTCATCATCTGACTCGTTGTATCGTAGGTTTCTCAATGATGATGCGACGGATGTGTGCATTTGGGTGTCCAGCGGCGCTTCAGGGTCGTAGGGCATGTTGGTCAGATCTTGGCCGGCAGGCGTGGTATACTTTGTTTGTAACTGTGACGCATAAGCATTAACTAGACCAGGTCTTCGTTGAACCTACGTATAGCTGTTCACGTTCAAGTGTGCCCTCAGCGAACGCCTCACGAAGCGCTTCACCAACCAAAGGTTCCTGGTAATGTCGTGGTTGCGCAGCTGTGTCGACGCGACGGAAGCCTTGAGCGAGAGCTTCCTTGACTAGCCTCTTCGTTTGATCTTTCTTCCAAGCAGTACCGTAGATGAAGGCAGGTTTACCATCGTAAAGACGTGATGCCTTTTGATTTGTTGAAGCAGAGGCCATGTTGCGCGATGTCGATAACGGAAGGATGTGGCAGGGCTTTAAACAAGATACAGCGACAGAAGTAGTGAGTCTACGAGCAGATAATGAATTTAGACAGCTGGATGACATATTGCGAGCCCATCAACAGATAGATGTAGTCAGCTCATACATCCCCGTCGAACATTGGGAGCCTCGAAACGACCATTCACGATGGTCACAAAATGTGGTACATGACGGAAACTTACGATGGAAATGACCTCATGTTCCATCGGTGCCAAGCCTTTATTGCCGAGGCACAAGAACGCGCCAATGAACCTTCCGTCGCGAACACCACGCGTCCAACCACCTCAATTTTCTGGACTCGTGCACCAACGCCCACCCCGAATTACTTCCCGCGCTTCCGTCTGAGTAAACACTCGATCCGATATCTTCACATGATCCTGGAGCACCCGCGATTGTCCGGTAGTGGTAAGCAATATTCTGAAGGTGCCTGCTGATGCCTTCTGGTGCTCGAACAGTACTCGTAGGAACACATCGCACCACTGCGCACCTGCTCCGAATGCGAGGTCATTGAGACTGTCGATTACGCATATGCTGAGATGTGGAGTCGCCGCCAAAAGTCTTGAGAATAACGCGATAGCTGCCGGCCAGCTTTCATCCGAGCCATTCAATTTGCATACAATGTCTTGGGACACTTCGAAAGTGTCCTCGTCGAATTGGAACTGCAACAGCTGAGATATCAGGCTATACACCAGCCCGATCAGACCGACTTTCTCCAGTTCTCGGTCTGCGCGTGTTGCAGTGCGAGGTCTCTCACAGAAGTGCGAAACTGTCGGTAATCCCGCCTCCCACGCTACAGCTAATATGTTCATCGCAAACGCGCGAGAGCTGGATATGCCATTATGCGATACTTCCAGGCCTGAAACCCAGAGCGTAGATGACACGGCCTCTGCATCCTCCCAGGCGTGGTGTTTGAACGTTCTTTGAACGCCAGATATCCAGCATTTGTTATCGTCACAAAACGAACGGCCTTCGGTCCCTACACAGAAGTCCTCTAGACCAGGGACGAGTTTCCTCACTTCACAACGATTTACCAAGCTGGCTTTCAACTCAACTTCCCTCGGCGACATGGAATCATCAAGATGTGCGAGCTGCTCCTCTTTATGATCATCTCCTTCAGCCCCGAATTCGATACATGATCTCTCGTACCCACTCAGGAGTAAGTTTCGTGAGTTCTGTCCTATGTCATACATGTCGAGAAGCTCCGAGTTTTGCTGTAGCTGAAGAAGCAGACGCTCACCGTTTCGCTTCTGCTCCGTATTCGCGACCAGTGAGTTGGCTAGTTGGGCAGTCTGCGCTACCCTGTACATCATCGTTACTTCTCTCTCGATTCTTGCTATCGCTTGTTCGTACCCTTGCTTCAACTTGTTGTTGAAACTCTTGAAAAAGCGGGCGGTTTGCGACTCCATATACCATTGCATAGCCTCGCGATAGAAGAGGAAGACTTGCGCGTAAAGTCTGGAATACAGCTCGCGCATCCGGCGTGTCTGTACCAACAACACAAGATCTGCTGTATGAACTGCTATCTCGGTTATGTGAATGACATACTCCGAAAGGCAGTCGGCAATCTCGTCGTGGTTGACAGCTGCCTCAATGATGAGCATAAGGCTACCAGAAAGCACAGAGGCGTAGCTGTTGTGCGAAGGGAAGATTGTGAACACGTTCTTGTGGGCTTCCAGTCCTTGGCAGAGGCCGCGAAATCGACGAGCGAACTTGTTGGTATAATTAGTAAGGTGAGCATTACGGCGCAGTTTATCTGGCTATCGTACCGATCCTTCCTTGCTCCTCCATGTGTTTTCAAGATCACGAACGTAGTTGCACAAGTCATCGAATCCATGGGTCGCCATACCCTGAATCGCCTCATTGGCTCTCGCCCGAGCCGCTTTGCGTTTCAATCCGAGTTTTGCTAATCGCGATGGTGGTTCTGGGATCTCGAACAATTTGCATGTTTCAAGAAGTGCAAGTCTCTCCGTTTCGATAGTATGGAAGCCGTAATCGCTAATTCTGTTAGTACCAGTAGATGCACGAACAGAAGACAAGCTCACTCTTTCTCGTCGTCTTTGTACAGTGCCCGCGCCCGAGCCTCAAAAACCTGCTCCTCTGCAGCGTCCTGCGCATGCTGTACCCTAATGGTCGCAAGCTCGAGGGTCGATTCCCCTGGCAGCGTGTTTGTAAATCGCCGCACCAGCGTTTGTCCTTGAAGAGCTTCAGCTTCGATTCGATTAGAAGCAGTATTCGACGCCATCTGCCGATAATGAGATTCAACCACGACCCTATGAAGATCAGTCCAGCTGGATATGATGCAGGCAGAAGATCTAAAGGCTTGTTGAAGCCCTGCGCCTCACTCGCACTCGTGTAATCTTAACAAAAGGTCACACAATCTGCAATGGCCTGCGTCGCTTCACAGCTGAGAAGCAGTAACACGTTGGATACCCATGCATTAGTCACGACGTACGTGGCTTCATTGTTGAACAAGAAGTACAGTCTATCCTTATCGTGATACAAGCGCTGATCTGAGCTAGGATGACGGGAACTCGAGTAGCATCCGTTTTCTTGTCCTCCTTCACTGCCCGCGTCATGCATTCTCCCGTATAACTACGCATGACCATCTAAAATAGGCTGACCGGTTTTGAAAACCACTCAGGAACGCCCACCCGGCGGCAGGACCCTGATGGGGCAACCTTGGCTTAATTACGACCACGCAACCGTTAGATTTGGGGTTCTTTACGACACTATCACGATTCTGCTCTTTTCCATCATGGCGACGGCCAAGCCCAGCTCGCTGCCTTCTAACGTCTGTGCTGAGCCACCAAGAAAGCCTTTCCCGGAATCTGTTCTCGTCGCAGTTGCTGGAGACGAGTCTATTGCTGACAACTATTCCAAAGACCCGAAGCACGACCGACCGAAATCTCCCAGCGGTGATACTACTGACGATATCCAACAATGCAACAGCCAATCCGAAGAAGTCATGGAAGCCTGCTCCGAGAACAACAGTGCTGGAGATGCGAACTCTCAGGACGAGGAAGCCGAAGAAGTAACCGAGGAGCTAGGCGAAGAGGATCACGAACAAGAAACTGATGACGATATCACATTTGAAGCTCCGATGGATCATGTCAACAGAGCTATCCAGGCTGCCACCGAAGCTGGGATGAAGAATGAACCGTGCTTCGACTTGTCGGCGGGTGTACCTCGGCATATCAGCGCAAGATTTGAAGATTCGGACTACTACGTCATTCCTTGGATAGCGTGTTACTCATGGGAGGTATGAAGATCCCATTTTCTATAAATTTCGTGTTGCACGCCTGACTCAGTATACCAGGTGGTCTTAGTTTTACTAAAGATGTATTACTGCAACGATCACAATGCACTGAACGACATAAACTGGAATAACATCACTATTCGAAAGGTAGGCCATGGCCTAATCTCCTCTGAAACGTGGGACTCAGTTATCCAACACGGAATGAGCGTCGCATTCTCGGTATTCTCCTCTCGCGTCCCACAACAGCCTCCACTGGATTACCAAGATCAGTTGCGGTATACTGTCACCTACTTGGAAGTCAGTCCAAAAGACAAGGATGGATGCTTCGTTGACGAGCGCACATATGACGCCCCAATGGAGGTAGAGACTATCCACGGTGATACAGCGATGCCCGCACTGGAAGAATTGAGGACCATTCAGACTCCACGTTACCGGGCAAATGATAAGGACGCCGGTGAGCAAGCGAGAGCTAAGCTAGGGCCCCTCGATCAAGTGAAAGAGATTAGCCTGAAGATCAATTCGTCATATCTACTGAACATACTCAAGTCGGTGATCGAATACGCGTCAGAATCTCCTCATGGAGAGGAGTTCGGTGTAGGTATGGGCGAGTTCAACTACCCATATAAGGATCTTTACCATCACATGGACGATCTGATACGATACCGGGCTGGTAAGAGCGACTTACGTGCTCAGCACCCCGCAGCTTTCAACGAGAGGGCAGACTGTCACATTGACTTAATGCTTGACTATCTGAGCTTGCAGCGAGATATACCCTTCGAGAAACATGCCTCTGCCCGCCGCGAAAAGGTGTCAGTCACTACTTTCGCGTCATACTGGTTACTCCTAAAACCGGGTACTGATGTGTATGTGCGTGAAGAAGATGGACTTATGAACGCGTATATTGTGCATGCAGTCAGCGGAGGCGTCACCCAGATCGATGGAAAAGCGATCAATCGCGACTACGAAGTCTCCGTATGGAACCTGGCGTGTGATGGGACAAATGCATTTCCTGAGAGTCGACGTGTACATGTTCCAGTTTTCGACAACGAGAGGGACGTGAAAAGTTTGCCCGTATTTCCCGTTGAGTATAACGACAACTTCGACGACGGTAGACTCAGGCAGGAGTTGGTAGGACGAGGCAAGAGGTATCTCAAATACACGAGCCAACCAAGCTTCTTGCAGTACTCTGGCCGGGGCTTAGCAAAGGGTATAGAGGTAGCTGCATCATGACGCTTACGATATAAACAACTGACAGTATGCAGTACAAACGAGCACGTGTTGTTGTTGCACACGAGAAGACGCCCTGGAATTTCTGCGACTTCAGCGATGGCCACCATACACCGAGGGACTTCACAGGCCACATAAAAGCATCTATTCGCGTGGCGAGCTGCGAATGCTACCAATGTGAAGAGTTGAAGACATCGCAAGAGAGTCACGATAAGGAACGATTCGGCGATTATCATGTGATTCAGCCAAAGAGCCCTGATCTGATCTCTGACCATCAATACATGCTCATGACATCGCATGTTTATGCCTTCATGCTGAAAGAGCGCACTTATGGTATGCTCGCCATCTTTGTCGCCCTAAAGTTGCTAACTGTACACTAGACTTGCTAGCTGTCGAAGGCTTGGAAGAGCCTGAGCTGGTCGAAACAGCGATCGACAGACTGGTCATAGATCATAACAACAAAGAGTTGATCAAGGCCATGGCCCAGATCTATACAGATAGCGACCCCGATCGGTTTAGCGGGGACTTTATACGTGGAAAAGGCGAGGGGCAGATCATACTTTTGCACGGGCCTCCTGGAACTGGCAAAACGCTCACAGCTGGTGTGTTACCGTATCATGTTGTCGGTTTACAATGATTAACGTGTCCCAGAAACTGTTGCAGAGTATACGCGACGACCGCTCCTTAGCATCACTGCAGCTGACCTGGGCCATGAGCCTGAAGCTTTGGAAAGGAGTCTTCTCCGTTTCTTCAAAGATGCTAGTGACTGGGGCGCTATAGTGCTACTGGACGAAGCAGACGTGTATCTCGAGCAGCGAACGATACACGACCTGAAGCGGAACAGCATCGTATCAGGCAAGCTTCTCACCACGTCTGCTGACGGTCGCTAATTGTCATTACAGTATTTCTCAGAGCTCTTGATTATTTCGAAGGCATATTTTTCTTGACGACGAATCGTGTTGGTCAATTCGACGAGGCCTTTATGTCGCGCATCCATCTCTCACTCGGGTATGACAAGCTAACGAACGACTCGCGTGGCAAGATATGGGACAATATGTTCAGGAAGCTCCGCGATGATCACGAGCGCGGCGGACGAGAAATACTCTACGAATATGACGCGAAGAGCTACGTTAAGAGCAGAGAGGTACAGGAGCTAGAGTGGAACGGACGAGAAATTCGAAACGGTGAGTCGCTTGATGTGTATACTGAAACGTGTGACTGACGAGTCGTACCGTAGCCTTCCAAACCGCCGTCGCCCTAGCGGTCTTTGAAGCCAAGAAGGACAAGAGTAGAAAGCCACCAAAGGTGACTGAGGGCCGCCTCAGGCAAGTCGTGCAGATGTCTTCGGCTTTCCGCAAATACATGACTGCTGCGCATAACGGCATGGACGAATCAACATGGGCTTTCAGACATGGGAATCGTGAGGACAAGTTTCCAAGCACACCAGCGAAGACTGCGACTTGAATCCGGATAGCGCCACGCTTAGCTAAAGCTGTTATCATAGGCTATTACGGCAGCTTTACATCTATCTAATAATATCATCTTAGCACAGCCTTCTGTCGTTGTCCGCTTTTCGCGACGGTACGTTGTGTTAGACTGAAAAACGGACTCACATAGACCTTTTCGCTGCAAGATTCGAATGAAGGCATTAGATCTGTCCATCGTTGATCCATCATAGCCGCCTATTTTGATCGTGACACAACAGCTCGCTCATAACACCGAATGCGCCGAGTTTTTGTTGTTTTGGGTAACACATGATATAAAAAGGATTTCTGTAGGACCGTTCCCAACTTCTCAGAACATGTGGTGATGTCGCCGCTTTTTGGAAATTTCGAACGCGAGAACAAGTCTCTCGCACATGAACCTGTTTCCAAGCGACTTTGGAACTGTCTGATTTTCGATGTTGGAGGAAGAGTGACGAATGCTCGAAGAAGGCGCAATAGACAGTATTTATACACCTCCTCTCCAAATCGACATCGCCAGTCATCAGCAAAGTTTGGATACTATTGCACGACGACACACATGAATCTAGTAGGATATCGTTTTGGTGGTTTTGTAAACAAGAGCTTCCTGAGAAGTTCTTTTCGACATCGGGAGTCTCGAGACATATAGCTGTTGTTGTGGCCTTTCGGAGACATCGAAAACGCAAACCAGACTCTCGCACATGAGAAGATTTTTTCGTCGATTTTGGAAACACGAACTTTAAAGTTGAGGAAGGAGTAAAGACTCGAAGACAGCGGCGGAGCAGATATTCATACTCGCGTCGAAGCTCCGATAACCGGCAGTCTTTCGGGCTCGAGACAGAAGGCGAGAACATGTAACATCGCACAACCATTTTCGGTATATGATTTGATGGCTATGAGAGATAGCAGATATGTGTAACTCAAGCAAGGAAGCCCGTAAAAGTCCAAAGACTATACATGTGCGAGCTCTTGAGTTATTGTGTAGCTAGACTATGTCGAGGTATACTTGTTTACCATTGAGACATCGAAACTGCGAAACACGTCTCCAAAACGGCCTAAAGTAAGCTCTCAGAATGCCACAAGAACATGCGCGATGTGCTTCAGCATTTAGATTTTGAGAGAGAAGGTCATGGGTCGAAGACGAACGGCATTTGAACCGCTCTTTTTGTGAAGGTTGGAATGAAGAAGGGTTGTGGGAGGTTCGAGGAGCAATTTATAGACCCAAGGACAAGAGGTGCAAAGATCGGCCATGCCAAAAACCATGGAAACATTTATCTTGGTTGTACAACAATCCGACTTCAAATATACATCAGTTCGACAGCACCTCAACGATGTTATCCCAGAAACCCAAATCGTACACATTCTCCACCGCCGCCAGATTCCAAACACGTTCAAAGCTATCTTCTCTAGCTACTGACTGTATGCGGCTCGGAAGTGTTTTAGGCGGTTGGCCATTTCGCGTACGGATGAGAATGTGTCTGCTTTCCAGCGGCCAGGTGGTTGGCGGCTCTTCGTCTTCTGGCGGGGTTTCCGGAGGAGTCGGGAAGGGTGACGTTGACGAAGAAGAATGCGCGGAGGCATGTGTATGTTCCCGTGCAGGTGTTGCTGAGCGGTATTCTTGCATGGTATCCTCCCGCCTATGGCCCAGGAAAACGACACCATCGGCCATGTCATCTCGCCAGTCTGCCCACTTGGCGCTCTCGTTCGTAGTCATGCCAGCCCATATCAGGTAGACGTGGTATGCGAGCAGGCCTAACGGAAGCGGCCATGTGAGAAGAGCCAGCAGTCCGACCCCAGACCCGCGCACACCGCCCATGTCGAGGTAGATGGTTGTGTAGATCAGGAAGTAGTGAGTCTTCCTGTCAAAGTAACCAAACCAGCTCTTCGTGTTTACGCCCTGCTTGGGGCTGTATCTATACCATCCTTCGTACTTCAGGTAGTGTCTGTGGACCAACGGCGAAAGGCTGTAGTAAGCCAGGTATGCGCCGTACGCGATCAGTATGCCGGTGGATAGCAACAGGGCTAGGAACCACTTGTAATTCCCCCGACCCAGGCAATTGTTGACCCATATGCAATGATGGTCCATCCTCGACACGCATGTCTTGCATATGCTGCAATGCTTGCTCCGCGCTGGCTTTAGGAACTTGCACGTCCGGCATGGCGTGCCCGGATAGTACAGCACCCTGTCGTACGGGTAGTGTCGCATCTGCTCGGCATGATTGAGCGTGGTGATGTATGTCTGGGTGTTGCTTTTCGCGCTGAGATATAGGAAGATGTACGGCTGCGGCAGCAGAACGAAGGCTAGGAGCTTGTGATGCGGTCGGATGAGGTGCCAAACCGTGGGCAGGAACAACGTCGCGCATGCGGTTACGAGGCCGAGGAAGAAGATGACGACCAGCGGGTGCTTGTCGTGCATGAGGTAGTTGCCCAGGCGGGCGCCGCCATTGGTAATGCAGCCATTGGTGAGGGCGAGATCGAGCTTTCGGAAGGCGGAGGGGATGTGGATGAGGAAGAGGCGGTTAAGGAAGCCTATGGGCGTGTTTCTGGGAATGTTAGAAGGGATGATGAGTAGGAGGGATGTAGATACCTGAAAGCTGGCAGTCGTCCGAAGAAAGCTACAAATGTCACCAGCGACACTGTGATGGTGAAGATGATGATGGTGCGGGCGACCGTCATGGTGAAAGAGACCAGCAGACTGCGACACTACGCATGGCGGAACAGAATGAAGACGCGAACCGAAGCTCTATGGCATCACGTCGCGCTCTGTCTGTCAGTTCACAGAGGTGACAGCGCAAGCGTCGGATAAGGCTGAGCAGCCGCGGAGGCTAAGCGACCCCGCGTGAATCATGTGTCCCATGTGAGCGCGCGTCGCGCCTGAGCCAACGCGTCATTCACCACCACCATAACCCGACAACACCACCCCACCATGGCTGGGCCGACCGTATACACCGACGTCGCAGAGGATTTCGATTTCGCGTCAGGTGGCCAATTATTCGCTGGCAAGAAATTCTGGGTTGCGCAGCGCGTAGCGTCGCGGAAACGGCTGCTGGACGACATCAAAGCCAATGGCGGAGAGATCGTTGCATTAGAGAAGAAGGCGGACTACCTGATCGTCGACCACGCCCGGAGAGACTGTCCTCCCGGATCAACATCGTATGAATTCATAGAAAAGTCCATCAAGGAGGGAGAACTCCAAGATCCCGAAGACTACACAGCCGGACCGCCGTTGGGTGAGGCGCGAGAAGCTGGTTCCATCCACCAACCCACCAAGAGCGGAAGGACATCGTACACAGCAGAGGAAGATAGGATACTCTCCAAATGGGTACGCGACGCCCAGTCAAAAGGTGCTTCCGTCAGTGGGAACGAGCTATACAAGCAGCTCGAAGCCAAGGTATGCGCCAACAAAGAAAACGCGCGGGGGAGTGATCGCTAACGAACGGCAGTACCCACGGCATACATGGCAGTCATGGCGCGACCGATGGGTCAAGACACTTAGCAAACGTCCGCTCTCGGCTTTCACGATACCTGACAACGCTCCTCCGTCTCCTCCCTCCGACCAGTCGAACGAACGTATGCCCCCAGTTCCAGCCCACTCCAAGCTTGCAGAACAGCAAATACCTAAAACAGAACAGGCTCCGAGTGCGACGGCCCTCGATAACAAGGGCAAAGCAAAAGCAAACCGCGACTATAGTGTAGAAGAGTTAGAAGTCTTGTTCAGCACAGACGATTGGCTGGAGTGCTATGCTTTTGTAGAGATCATCGATGGCGTCGAAGGACAAGACGATTATCTCTCTGCTTGGGATGGGTGGGCTGAGAATCAGGGAAACCAAGCTGCCGAGCAGTGGCGGCAGTATTACGAGAAGGTAGTCCGTCCACAGTGGTTGCGCGATCCGGTATCGAAAAGGGAGAAGATCAGGAAGAAGATGGAAGAAAAGCACGATGCCGCAAACGCAAGGCGGAGTCAGGCGCTCAGTCAGCATCCAGCAGAGATCGAGAAACCAGACGAAACACTGTCACAACCTTCTCCAACAACACGAAATAGAGTGGAGCCGGTACAGCGGTCAGCCTCTGAGGGAGCGAACTCTGAGGAATTACCGCAACCCCGAAACCCACCCAAAATCGCGTCAGAGCCTAAGATGCCGTCATCATCCACCGCTCGCCAAGAATCTCCGAACTTTTATGATGAGCAGCTTGCCAGGTACACTAAGCGATTACGCGAAGACAACTTTGTGAAGCAGGAAGATGAGGAAGAACTCGCTCCTCCCACCAAACGTCGGAAGAGCGGAAGCGCGACGCCTATCCAGGAAGAGCCAATGCGACCGATCAAAGCCGAGGGCACGCAGAACCAGCCTGTGGAGATATCTTCTGCTGCGAGTTCCCAGACTACTTCGACGTCAGAAGATGCCGAAGAGCTTATGCAAGAGCAAATCCGGTCTCAAGAGCCCGATACAGTGGATGAAGATGCCACCATCGTCAACATAGACGAAGATCTAAAGGAAGAAGAGGTGGGAAGCATAGAGTCAGATGATTTCCCTGACATTGATGAACTGCACCCACTCTCATCACCGCCAGACCAAGACTCGGTATCTGGCGATGATCTTCCCTCAAATACACCTACACCGCGTGCCACCCGACAAAAGATTTCTAATTTCGACACTCAAGCCATCCTATCATCGCCGACACAAGACACGTTCTCAAGACCACAAGACTTCGTCCCCAACATGGCTCCTCGACAACCGCAGCGATTCTCCTCACCCCCCGAACAACCAGCATCTGACGCATCAACCACCCAATCCATGGAAGAGTTCCGCCGCTCCCTCCAAGAAGAAGGGGAAGAAGACCCAGACCAAACCCTCTACTCGCAGCATCCCCCTCAACCCCTCCTCATCTCCTCATCCCCAGCACCCTCCACCTCATCAACAGGCGAAGAAGACCCCGACCCACCCCTCACCGGCGATGAAATCATCGATTTCTACACCGAGCTGAACGAGCAAAAATGGTCCAATGAGTTCATTAGCAAAGCACTTAAACGCACAGGTCTACGTCCTGACCTAGCAGAAAAGGTACTGGATGCGTGGAAGGTTGGCAAGCCTTTGCCGATGGAAAGGGGTATATGGAGTAAAGAAGATGACGAGGCTGTGGAGGGTGGTGATGGGTATCAGTTGGCATTGTTGGAGAGGAAACATACGTTGGATGGGTGGGGTGGGATTGTGGAACGGTTGAAGTTTTTGGACACGTATCGGAGCCGGTAGGAGGGGTTGGGGGTTGGTGTGGTTATTTCTATCAGTACTTTCGGGTTTGAAGAGCACAGAATTGGCTTTTGGAACGGCGTTTCGCAAGATTGAATTGGGCGTTCGTATATACCCTCAGCGCAGCCTACATGGCGTCTTTCTACAAATCTTTTGCAAGAACGATGTCCTGACAATCTATGAGTAGAAGAAGCTCACACCGTCATCTTGTTCGATCCTCAATGTCCAACCCAAGCCCGATGCGCCTCGCCATACCTCTCCCCCTCGGGCTTCGCCTGATCAACAATCCTCCTCATCTCCTCCATCTCCTCCTTGCTCAACTCCACATCCCTACTCCCCCAATTCTCCTCCAACCTCCCCACCTTCGTCGTCCCGGGAATCGGCATCATCCCCTGCCCACTTACCCAAGCCAACGCAATCTGACTCGTCGTACACCCCTTCTTCTTCGCTAGTTTCTTTATCTCCTCCACAATCGCTTTATTGCGGTAGAAATTCTCGCCTTGGAATTTCGGGACTGTGCGCCGGAAGTCGTCCGGGGCGAAGGAGTCTGGTGAGGGGAAGTCGAAGTTGTCGACGAGCCAGCCGTGGCCGAGGGGCGAGTACGCGATGTAGGAGATGGAGAGTTCGGCGGCGGTGGCGATGAGGTAGTCGGTTTCGTGGAGGGTTTCGAAGGCGGAGTACTCGGCTTGGATGGCGTGGATTTTGGCGATGGAGTTTGCTTTGCGGAGTGTCTTGGCCGAGCACTCTGATAGACCGATGTACTTGGTTTTGCCCAACTTGCGGCATTCGTCAAGGGCGGGGATGGATTCTTCGAGGGGGGTGTTGGGGTCGATGCGGTGGAGGTAGTAGAGATCGGGTGTAAATCCCAGCCTCTCAATGGTACCATCAATGTATTTCTTGATGTGAGCTGGGCTGTTGGTTACGCCTGACTCGCCATCGAAGCATGCGACGCCGCACTTTGAGGCAACTGAACATAGGCTATCAGTGATACTGCCAGTACGAAATCTTGTTCTCTAATTAGGAGAACTTACTGAACACCTTGTCACGGACGTTGTGCTTTCGGATGAAGTCTCCCAGAAGCTTTTCGTTGACACCTGCCTGATACACGACGGCAGTGTCCCAGAAAGTGCAACCGAGTTCAATGGCTTTGAGAAGAACAGGCTCAGCTTCTTCGAGGCTGAGGTTGCTACCTAGCCCATGACTGAGGCCCATGCAACCAAAGCCTGGAGATGGTACTTGGATGTCCTGGAACTGAAATGTCTTGACCATTTTGATGGAGTTGGCTGCGTAGAGACGAGACGTTTTGGAGTAGAAGTGCAAGCTGCTGAGCTGGTTTGATAATGTAGGACTTGCCGACAGAGGTCTATCTTATATATCCACGCATAGCAACTTGGAATATGTTCGGTGATACAGACTTCGAGAGTGTCAGCCAGTTGCATTAGTGGACCCATGCAAACCTTGGAATCCGTGGATAAGTGATGTTGAGTCGAGTATCTCCGCTAAAGCCGCGTTACCTTCATGCCTCACGTACTCCTAACAAGAACCGAATTTTGTCGGTGAAGAATCTGACGTGATGTCCACATGGTTGTTTCAATTGGCGTGCTCAGAGGCGTTATGTCCGTTACCGCCGATGTTGCGACTCACATCCACGTTGATAGTTTGAAGTATCGACGTCTTGTCTATGCCAATTTCGCAGGTAAGTTCCACAATCGCATAGCTTACAGAAGTGACTGTTGGTATTATTGCAATTGTATCCAGTTAGTACGAGTTGTTTTGTCTAGGGAGAGGTGAGATATGTGGGAAGACCGCAGCTAGCACATCGATGTTGATGAGGACCTCCAGCCACGCAGCCACAGCTTCAAGCCACTCATTACCAGCAATGACGTCGCCCAAGATGTGGATGCTGGAACCCTGCTTGTCGCGTGTGTATCTCCTGAGATCTGTTGAAGTGTCAACACAACTACGTCTTCGCGTCTCCGTGTATTACGCCGCGATCCGATCTCCCCGGCCATTGCATCATCCCTGTGCCGATAATGAGGCACCGACTGTCGGCGCTGGCCTCGCTCCCACGCGCCTCAACATTCCCGACCGCTCGATGCGCACCACTATTCACACGCAACTCTCCGCGCATATCAATACAGCTTAGGGCGTCCCCCCAGTTCCGATGCTACGGGACCAAGCCCAGAGGCGTGGACAAGGAGACTGACAAGTATGGGGACTACAGCAACTCCAATGCGCGGCCTGCTGCAGACCTCAATGAGAACATCACACAGGAAGAGAAGGACCACTTCGCAAAGAAACTGAAGGAAGACAAGGGCAAGCAAATACGAACACCATGGCACAGGGAAGGAAGCGACCTGCCGCCTGTCGCGCGACAGAGGAGCGCTGGAGCCATGACCAAGGGTATGCCTCTTTCGTTGTACGAGGACTTGATCACTAATAAGAGGCAGGCAAACTTCTGACTACCCCATCGCGGATGCTTAAGATCATCCTGCCACTCACGACGAGCGACATGAATACCGATCGCAAAGACGTGGAACCCCTAGCACTCCTCGTCCACCCACAGCAACCCATCTCCTACCTCGAACGCCTGATACAAGCCGAGCTACCCACAATCAAGGACAAGGAGGGCCGTGATCGCCAGCCGAATGTCTACTTCCGCGCCGAGGACTCAATGCAGCACGACGCCGAGCCGGAGGAAGTGGAAAGCACACCAGTCAGTAACGAAAGCGAGAGTCTCAGCGAGAAAGACGGCGAGGAGGACTTTGAACAGGTCGATGAGATCCGTATCGACGGAAAGGTCCAGAAAACAGGGAAGCTCAACAGCCAAGATCGGAAGACACCTGAGCAAGCTGAGCAGCTGCGAGGTGGGCCTGGCAAGGGAGGCGTCGAGTCGTACTCTGGACAGGGCCAGGAAGCACCAGCAGACAAGCAAGGGGAGCGCAAGTTTGTGCGATGGTCTTCATCCACCGAGATTGGTGACTTCATCCGCGATGCTGCTCGAGGGCAGGAATTCGCCATTGAGATTGAAGGTGCGCCAGAGGAGATCCGAGTTGGTGTGCCCAGCTTTAACGACAGAACCTACTATCTACGAATGCGTCTGCGCAAGACGTCTAAGAAGATCAGCGAGATGGCGAGTGTCAAGAAGGAGTGCGACGACCTAGCGCAGGCGGCGGCAAAGAACGTTGCAAGGGCTGGTTTCGTGGGCATTGCCGGATGGTGGTGCGTTGTTTACTACCTCACCTTCCAGACAGAGTTGGGCTGGGATGTTATGGAGCCCGTCACGGTAAGTTTGGCCAAACACTGAATTCTGGTTCCATCTGACATTCTGCACAGTACCTCGTCGGTCTCTCTACCCTTATTGGTGGTTACGTATGGTTCCTCTACCACAACCGCGAAGTCAGCTACCGGTCTGCCATGAACTTCACCGTATCTCGCCGACAGCAGAAATTGTACGCTCAACATAATTTCGATTTGCGCAAGTGGGAAGTCCTGATCGAAGACGGAAATGCCCTTCGCAAGGAGATCAAGGCTGTTGCCAACGAGTACGATGTTGAGTGGGACGAACTGCAAGAAGAGAAGGACGAGAAGGTCCAGGAAGCACTCAAGAAGGACCGCAAGAAGAAGGAGGAAAAGAAGAAGTCAAAGGATGACGAGGATGACCCGGCACCGGAACCGAAGAAGGACGACTAAGACAAGTGAGCGGTGAATCATTGCACCAGCTCATGCATGTTTTGCAGGTTGAGCACTTGAGCGAGGCGTTCATGGGCATTTTCGGTAGACAGCGCTTGCAGCATGGTACATATTGCTGCCACGTGTGGTTGTCCACCACATATACATATTTGCCATTGAATATCACTTTTGATCATCTGATGGCGTGCAAGCTGATTTAATATAATAAAGCATCATCAGCCGGGTTTGGACGCGGAGAACGCCCTGCTGTCATCTATAACGTGGTACTGTGCCGCCACTATACATGACCGCGTCTGGGGCTAACGCGCTGTCAGACCTGGGTCTGGGAATGCACGATTGCCGAAAACCGTACTACTGCCATCAGCATGCAAGCAATCGCTTCCTCCCACGGTCATCAGTGTGCCTTTTGTCTCACACCTCAGTCCATGATAGGATTGCGACACCACCACCAACTCGTAAAGGAATGTGCATCATCATGTATAATCGGTAGCCATGTCCACGTATGCGACATTGGAGACGAATGTTGTGTTGCGTTATAATTGGACTTGTTGCCTCCTCGGCCAGCGAAAAGCAACTCGGCACCAAGACGATTCGAGATGGCGGTGCATGGTGGTGTAGAGATTTAGGGTCCGGGTTGGGGTGGGCCGTTGCGCGTGTTGGAGTGGGCCCACAGCGACTATTTATATCGCCCCGTGTGGGGATTTCTTCTTGGATACCAAGACGAACACCACAACGGTCGCATGTCGGACAGGACAATAAACGTGTCACGAGGATGCCCGAATTTCGCCCGGAATACATCGGCGGTTTGCAGCACACCTGGGATTGATAGTGCCTGTTCCGAGAGGTGCTAGATGGACGCAGATATGGCCTGAGGATGGCGACCGTGTGGTGCCTGTTCTTTACTTAGCCGCCGACGTCTGGTCGCGGGCAGGGATGGTGCATAAGGTGCATGTAGGCGTATGCATGAGACGGCGCCCATTCGCTGGACAAGCAAAAGTCAAGCCTCGCTACCTTGCCAAACCTCCGTCGTCGACGCTGCATCGAGTCTAGACGTGCAAGCCGCGTGCCCGACATGATCGACGTCTGCTTGCCCGGCGTCGAATTGGCCGCCTTCCCTTCCATCCTCATGGTTGACCGACACACAGCATGACCCAGCATCCTTGCGCGCCTCGGCCTCTGCGTTCGCGTGCGTGGTGACAACGTCGAGAGTGGTGCAGCGACCAACGCCGCCCCATCGTGTCTCCGCCGCTGGATTCGCCCGTACCACTTGGGAGCCGCCAGCCCTAATTGACATCAAAGTTGATAGTGGC